CTTATATAGTAACCTCGCTTAACTTAGCTGACTCAACCCAGCTCTGGCCACTACGTGGCTGCATGGATTAGAATAGTCCATATAGGTCTATTATAGTTCCCGTCCTAACATGCCGGAAGGCGGCTTATAAATTAATATTTTAAGGGAATAGCACGATTACGCGTTAGTAGAGCACTTTAGCGTTATAAGGACGGTCGATTTAATCCGAAGGACGTATGACTAGCTGGGTCTTTATAAATATATAAAAGACTATATAAAAACGTATAACGTTTACCAGCATACGAAAGTATATAGATACTTACTATATAGCGAATTAAGGCTATTACCTATGCTAAAGAAGGTATAGAAGGAATTATTAATAGATTTTATTATAGATCTACCCCTAAGTAAGTGTTCTAGGTATATTTATAATAGTTTACTTATAGTTCTAGATAGATTTATAAAGATATTATACTATATCCCTATAAGGAAGATAATCTAAGTACCGGATCTTATAGATATACTACTCCGTAACGTAGTCCGGCTCTATAGTATACTAAATAGTATAGTTTTAGATAGAGGTCCGTAGATAACGTCTAAATTTTAGAAGGATTTCTACTATACGCTAGGAATTAAGCGGAAACTTAGTACTACGTTCTATCTATAAATAGATAGATAGACGGAGCGGTAGAATTAGATAGTCGAGGCGTATTTACGCGTATATTATAACTATAAGTAGGATAACTAGATAAGGTTAGTCTATATCGCGGAATTCGTGTATAATAACAGCCGATATACGTTAACCCACGTAAGTCTATTTAAAGTAAACTTCGGTCGGAACTATAATATATAGTTCTTAGAGACTTAGTTTAAAGTAGAACGACCTAACGTTAAAGTAATAGAAATTACTATAGAACTATTCTAAACGTAAAGAAGCGTTATAAAGTTACTATAAGATACTATGAATTATAGTAAATCGTACTATAATAAGGGTAGAAAACCTATAATCTTTAATGTTAGGGATAAAGTTTTACTAAATAGTAAGAATATTCATAGTATTAGGCTAAAGAAGAAGCTTAACTATATAATAATAGATCTATATAAGATTACTCGTGTAATTAATAACTAGGCGTACGAGTTATAACTCCCTTCTACGTTAAAGATATATAATATATTCTATATTACGCTTCTCGAGCCATTTTATGTCTTATTATTACCGGATCATTCCGAATAGATACGATATAAAGTAGTTATATAAGAAGGTATAGATATCTACGAAGTTAAGTAGATACTTAGCTAGTAACGCGCCGAAGATAGCACGTGGCTATATAAAATTCATTAGAAAGGATATAATTCTAATAAAGATACTTAGGAACCTATAATAAATATTAGTAAAGTAGCGATATTAGTATATAAGTAGTAATTAGTAAAGGAAGCCGCGGAATCGTAGAGAATTATACTAAAGTATAGCGATTCGATATTTTTTAGTATAGTTTAGCGCTAAGGACGGCCGCCTAAAAGAAAGAAGGTAAAAGAGATATAGATCTTTAAAACATTCTAAGGAATTAAGGAACTTCCTTAGAAAGTTCAAACTTAGAACTTTAAAAATTTAACTAAAAAAGAGACTTAGAAAAATAATTTACTAAGAGAAATAGACATTGAAAGTCGGTGCCGATCGGTATAGATCGGTATAGATTACTAAAGAGATTAAAGAAGTTATTATTAAAGAAAGATAAAATTAAGAAAGCTAAAAGAAAATATAAAGATCTATATAGATCTATATAAACTTATACTAATCTATCTAGAAGAAGTAAGATCGCTTTAAAATTAAAACCGAAAAACCAAAAACGCTAGATAAAAGAGATATATTAGTACTAATTAGTATAGATCTAAACCGATTAAGTCGGAGTAGGAGTAGAAGTACTAATTACCGCGATGGTTATATCTAATTCCTTCCGCTAGTTCTTATTTAGTATAGTATAGAGCTTTATAATATAAGTCTCTAGCCTTTCGTTCCGACGCTATAAATTCTATATAGCGCGCCTTATAGCTATAAACTCCTCTATAGAAACCTATAGAGTAGCGGGACCTAGAACGGAGAGGGACGGACCGGTGTAGGCACGCTAAGAATTATATAAATTAGTGAAAAGATTTAACGATCGGTATAGAACTATATACCTTTAGTATAGAAACTTCTAGATTAGAGCTATCTTCCCTAAATTTATAGCTCTTTAGCACGCGCGAGGAAGGAACCTTAGCCTTTTTACTAGAACCTTTTCTAGGAATTCTAATATCGCTGGTATATAGAAAGAAGTCCGAAGTAGTAGAGATTTTAGTACTATTATAGAGATTAATATATATTAGTAAGAATCTATAATAATTTAAGAAAAATAATATTACCTAGTAATCGCGGTAATAATAGCTATAGTAGATTCCGATAAATCCTTATAGATCTTATTAGAATCGTACTCCTAGGCGTAACCCTTACCTTAGATATATAGCTTATAGAAAGCCTTCTCTAAGGCGTTATAATTAGTAGTACCACGCTCCTTATTAGTAGGGGTTACTAGAGGCCTAGTAGTAATCTATACTAATATAAGTAAATCTATATAAAGTTCTTCGAACTTACTTAAATACCTATAAGTAATAACGCTTCTTAGTTATATAAGTACTATATATTATAGATTTAGTACTACCGTGAGTAATATACGACGGAAAGTAATAACTATAATAATATATAGCTAGATTATTAGAGCCCGGCCTAGGTCGGGGTAGATTAATAGCTTTCGATATATTAGTAACGTATATAAGATAGGGATTATTCGAAGGCGCCTATTTCCGCGCCGATTACTTTAGAGCGTTAAGATTTCGGGAAACTATATTAAGATTATTATTAATTTATATAGATTATTATAAATTATATTATTACTAGCTAAGAATAGTACGAAAATTAGTAAAATGCGTAAATCGTACTAAATTATAGTAAATCTATATAAATCTATGTCTATAAGGATTAGATGATATACCTAATAATCTAAAAAACTCTATAAAGAGTTAAGAAGTTTTTTAAAGAAAGGAATATTTCTAAGAAAAGATTTTAATATAGGTAGTACCCGGGCTTATCTAATTATATTACATAATACGCTAGGCCTAATTAGGTAATCTTACCTATATAAGAAGTTAAGATAGATAAAATTTAGTTTATTAGGAAAACGCTTATATAAATCTTAGATTAGTGAATATTAGTAAGTATCTAAGACGAAGCGTAGAGAATAACTAAGGTCTTATAAGACTTAGAATAGGGATATAGAGATAGATAACGATCTAGGTCGCTAAGGGTAGCTTCCTAGAGGGAAGGGATAATTATTAGGACTTAGTCTTAGATAGAACCCGACCTATATATACCTTAGCTAATAGGGTTAGAAGGTAACGTAAAGGGCGGTAAATAGTTACGTACTAGATAGATCGGCGTCCCTTTATATATATACTCTCGGATTCCTACCGAAAGGGTTCGGTAGTAATTCGTTCTATAATAGAATACACCCCATTATTCTATCTAACTACACTACTATCCAATAACCCTATTCTTATAAATATAATTACTACTTTACTCGCCTACTAGCTAGTTACTATTTATACTCTATTAATACTTACTATAAACCTACTTATATCTCTTAGAGCCTTCTAAGTACCCTTTACCTTTAGAAAAGCCGGAATACTCTATAGAATGGACTACTTTAGGGATAAGCCGCACCCTTATCTAGGAAGGTTTATTATAAGTAGGGCTTAATTAATTCTAGAAGACTTAGTTTCTTATAGTAAGGATCTCTCGTTTAAGGGCTTACTAGTATTATAGTAGATTAAAGATCGCCTCTTTGGCGCTTTATAACCCTATATTTAGACCCGGGTCTTAGCCCGGCTCGCCCCTAGTATTACTCTATATATTATCTCTAAAGTCTATAGTAAAGTACTTAGAGAGCGAAATAGAATTAAACTTAATATTATAGAAATATAACGTATATATAGATATAAGAGTATTTATAGAATATAGTAAGTTTAATAAGGGAGGAAGCCGGAGTCTACTTAGCTTTCTTAAGATATAGAATAGAGTACGCTATTAAAAAGAGGCTTACTAAGCTTCGTTAAGTAAGGAGAGAGTAGTAGTATAGATATAGTATACTAGCGTTAGGTATACCTAGGGTCTACCCTTAATACTATCTATCTCTTTAAGATTCTTTAGTCTTTAAAAGAACTTAATAACTATTCTTAAGAGATAAATAGAAGTATATAGGATCTTTTAATATCTTCTAGAGTCTTAAATCTAGAGCTATTTAGAAAAATATAAGATTCTAAGAATTAGAGGTACCGGTAAAAAAACGTATGTATTACGTATGTAATACGTACTAAGAGTTACGCTAAAAAAGTTACGGATAGATCTATCGTTTTCCTAGAACCTAATAAGCTAGAACTTATATACGCGTGTTCTTACCCCTATCTATCTACCTAGAGCTCTTTCTACTTTTATATCTATTCTAAGAAGATAAGAGCTTTAAAAAGTAGCTATACTTAGTAATTAGATATATATCTATCCTTCTATAAGTTTATTTTATTCTAATAAAGTCTCTTTAGAGAGATAGAGAGATATCTTAAAAGGTTCTTAGAAGAGGGCCCGTGTGAAAACCGCGTTAGGTTCTAGGAAAACTACCTTCTTCCTCTTCTCTAAGAAACTAAACCCTCTTATAATAGACTTAATTAGAGAGTTTAGAGCTTAAAAATTATATAGGAATAATTACCTTACTCTACTCTATAAGTCTATATAAATATTATTAAATATAGGCCTTTATATATAGGTAGAGAGGTGAAATAACTATTAAAGATTGGGTGTAAGAACACTAGTAAATGCCAAGCTCGTCAGGTTCTAGGAAATCGACGGATGAGTCGTATCCCGAATAGGCAACGGCTGCGATTGCTTTGGCTCGCGCTCGCCTCCAATTCGCCCCTAACGCCGGAGATGAGTCAGAATGCTTCGACTCTCTGGTGGATCTGGCAACTGTGGGTAATCGTTAGGTAACGGCTTAGGTTTCATGGTGATATTAAAATCACACTGTGACGTTAGGTCTACTGTCAGTTCTCTGGAAAGAACTAAGCCATTTTGACTACTTCACACATAACAAGCGGCGGATACGCCGATATTAAGAGGCACGAGCATCGTATTATATGATAGCTATCTGATACTTAGTGGCTTCAAAGCCGAGAACCTCCATGCTTTCCAGCTTCGCAAAGAGGTCATACTTCAAGCGCCGCAGAGATAGGTAGGCGCCTATAGAATAAGATGCCGGAGTTCCACCTAGTTTCCCCTTTCCAGTCTGCGAAGAATGCAACATCTGCCCTGTGGCTACTGCAAAATGGCGAATGAGAGATATATCCAGCTTTGAAACCTACTGGGACCTCGGTGGACACGTCTATATCAGAAGTTCTGTGTGGAGCACGCGCTCAAGTCGAGTGGAAGGATCGTCCGTCGAATTTGCGAGGCGGGATCCACAGCCATGATATGGATATTATAACAAAAGACCTTTCCAGTAAGTTTATTCTGTTGAGATGCGGTACTTGTATGCTAAGATGTCTTACACTGACATCCTTCGACTGTTTCTAGTCCAAGGACTTCGAGTGAAGCATCCCATCATCAAAGACAACGTAAGTGAAACTTCGCACTCCAAGCTCCATATGATATCTCCAATACTATTTTTATCAACAGAAACCATATCCATAAGACTAGTGGTTTCGAATACCATGATCTGAACCAGGCAATAGCACCGCATTCTTTTTCTTTATCTTGCCGCCACAGTAAGACTACGTTGTGTGCGACACTCCAGCTGGCAATAGCACGTCTCTTAGCCTTCAATCCATCTGACAGCTCTTTGAGAATCTTTAACTCATAGGCATTCGAGAGTTAGGACTCGGAGAAATAGAATGTTATTGTGAGAATGATATCGATGTCTTCATCTCCGGCTACGTCATCTTTCTAAATATCGATATGGAGATCTGTGCGGTGCCGAGTGGAGTATTATTGAGTACCGAATGGATGATCATTACGACTTTCGCCGAAGATCTTGTCATGGGGAAGGTAGAGAGCTGTTGGACGGCGTGGAGAGGTTTGGAAGTCGTCGTTCTAAAAGAGCATGTCAGTGAGTTTTCCTCGAGTTGAAAGGGAGGCTCCGAAATGAGCTCTAGCTATCTCCCATACATGAAGCATAGAGCTTATAGATCTTGAGCAGGATATAAATGGAATAGCTTATAGTTAATACGCTCCTTTGTAATTTTCGTGGTCGTGTCCTTTGTTCCCGATGTTGAAGATTTTTAAGTCAGGAAGTGAGCCCCGCGATATGGTCAGTATCTACGTCGAAGAGATCGTGATAAATCTTATGGATAGTTTTCGCCTTGTGTCCTGTGCTATCTTCGCTTTTGACGTCTTTGACAGCATTGAACCAATCACTGTGTAAGCAACAATGATTCTCTTTGACCCTGCCACTCAATAGCTGTCTGTTTGTCCACCACTGAAATAAACATAGAAGTAATAGGACCATTAAGTGTACTACAATATTTTCGACCGTACTGACGTGTTATGATTTTGACGCGGTCCTTGGTTGCCGTTAGGCTACGAGACGAGTCTGTGACTTGAGCTATGAAGCCGCAATTAAAGTGCTGTAGTATGTATAAGAGGAGTCGAAATCCTGGCCCTAGAAGACTAATTCCATGTATATAGCGAATTGAAGAGACAGATCCTCACGAAGACGCTGCAATCATGATTAATGCAGAGGGTGGTGCACAGGTGTCAGCTGTTCTATAGCGTGGCGAGGAAGAAGGAAAACTTACTATGTCGCCTATCATTGTTTACCTCCACCAGTTCAGATCAAGCTCTTTTACGCGCGACCCAGAACTGATTCACATCTTTCCCCCGCAGACCGTGGAATATCTTCTCCGCCTCCACATCGCCCTCCTATCCACACTCTTTGCATTACCAAGCGTGTCAGACCACAATTGCACCTTCACTTATGGGAGATCCCCTCCCACGGTCGCAGAGCTCCAAGCAGAGACTGAAAGTCATCATGGCTCCCAATGGATCACCACCAAACGGTGGAAAAGTCAAGCTCAATCAGATCGTGCCAGGAGTCTGGCTCGGCAACTTGTACTGTGCCACCGACGAATCTGTGCTATACACCAGTGGCATCACAGCCGTATTATCCGTCGTCGATGACGGGGATGTTCTGTACGCACCGCGCTTTGCGGCCAATCTCCCAAGCTTCATTCATGGCGAGCGACACCGATCCATCAGGGCGAGTGACAGCAGAAGCGTGAATCTCCTGAAGCATTTTGACGAAATATACGACTGGATCGATCGTATGAACGCGGAACCGGCGCGCAAAACGCTCGCGGATCTGGATAGACAAAACCACATCAGAAAGACAATGGGTGATGGTCTGTTGAGGAAGTACTACGATAGGGACGGGAGAATCAATCATAAGCGCACGATGAGATGGGTCGAGATACGCATGAGACTGGATCAATACGATATCCAACAGTCTGCCAAGGAGACCAGCGATTGGCAAGTAGCATTCCTTACGGGCAAACGGCAAACGCCACCACTCGTACCAATAGCCGATATTCGAGATGACTCACAAACATACGTGAAGTCGGAGCGCAACAATGTTCTGGTTCATTGTAGAATGGGACTCTCGAGATCGGCTACAATAGTTGTGGCGTATGTGATGAAGAAGTTTCGGACGTCATTCAGTGCGGTGCTTGATTACTGCAAGCAGCAAACCAGTATCAACCCCAATTCAGGCTTCAGGCGGCAATTACAAGCCTACGAAGAGATGGGATACAGCATCTGGGAAGACGATCAGCGCACGAGACATAAAAAAGAGTATAAGGAATACCTAGCTCAGGATTTGAGGCTAAAAACTCGTGTGGATGCGAGTGGGCGGATCCATCCGACAACAGGCTCACTATCGGTGCGCTCTAGCTCAACTAAATAAATAATATTTGGTTTGTGTTTCATAGACGCCATCGAATAGGCTATTCTCAAAGCGAATACGGTATCAGGTCCCGATAGCGACCGTTGCGATCTTCCAGATTAGCTGTTTTTGCAGAGATGAGTTATGATGAGGCAAATGAGCTTGTTGCAATTAATGCAAGAATGGAAAAGCATTACAACCAGGTCGAAGAGTGACGTTGGCTACGATGATTCGAGCATTCAGTCGTCCATTTTCTTGATGATTCGAGCTATAGATACTGGGACTGGTAGTCGAGACTGGCATTGCAACATTCTTGAACTAATCACGCGAAGCATTTGACTACCCACTTGAACCAAAATGCTCGTTCTGGCGATACCGTCCGTATTCGAAGCGAATGCTGGACTTACATACCTCAAATTCATGTTTTATACAAAATGACGCCCACTTTTATATCCTCGAGAATATGTGACCGTGATGAAGAAATGCGAGACCGTAATATCAGCAAGATGTATAACCAAGGCTTCCAGAGATATGCGGACGGAGAACGTACTGACACACAACTAGCCAGGTACTATGAGGCTATTTCTTCAATCATGTACCTGCCGATGCGGGTGTCAAGTGTTCGCTTTCCCTGTGCTTGAATCGCCGTGTGCTCTGGAGTGAGATAAGTGAAGGAACGAAATGGGAATTGGAACAAAGTGGTATTATGCAATTGACGGGTTGTATGGAATGCATGGTGACCTAGATCAGGAAGGGCTCAACCAGACCACCTTATGAACGCGGATAGATCTTGGTGGCTTTTTGTGCGAACGCTATCGAGGACAATCATAAGCAAAATTAGACATGCGTGAGTCTCGCGGGCAAACATTCGCTTTGTTGCCACAGGAGAGGGCCACCCACGCAACAGATACATCGGGTTCGCTAGATATATCCTCGATTCCTTTTCGATGTTGGCTCTCGTGGTCTACTTGGCGAACTGAACCGGTCTCTCTCATTCTCCCTCATCTTATGTATATTGGTCGGTCGTGTTGCAGTTACCGCAATTCTGCTGCTGTTGCATCTGTCATCTCTCAGTAAAGCTTAGCTGCGTCTTATTTGCGTTGTTTTTTGGTCTCTACTACCGATACTGGTATTCCTGTAACGAGACTTGTCACTCTTGTTGATATCCAAATGGTGACCCGTCGTGTGGCATCCGGACGCAACCTTTTCCCAATTCCAGCAATATCCATTTAAGCTGAGAGCTCGCCAAGCTTGTGCTTCGCATGGTCTGTAGGGAACTTGTCCGCGACGTTACAGTATAGCCCACCCGTGTTACCATACACGTCTGCCTTATATCTTTATGGCGAGATGTCCAGTGTTAGTTGTCTAGTTCAACCTTCAACTGACATGCTACGAGTACCTCAGAACGAACATCTCTCACAATGCAACCAGTGGTAACAACTCATGACGAGTCGGTGTTTTTTCTGTGCAAGCTCATCTGAGCCACGGGACAAGATTTCTTCCCGCGATCCTTTGGAAAATGAGACCGGTGGAAAACCTATAGCTATAGGTCCCCGAAGATCAGAGGTGATGCCGACGCTAATAATAATAACGCTGCTGCTGGCATATTTGAATGCCATCTTCACTGGCTCGCCCTCGGTCTAATGGGCAGCGCAATGGGACGTACCCTAATTCCTCGCTGCGTGCCATTTGTCATATTAAATGGTCTGGGATCTTAGGTTGTCCCATATAATCTGGTGTAACAACCTTTGGAAAGGATGGCTTTCCACTTGTGTTAGCAGTAATCTGTTTCCTCCACCAGATCGAAACTTACTGCTTACAAGAAACACAGTTCGATGATCAAGAAATGCGACCGACCCGTATTCATAAGCTAGGCTTGTCATCATAAACCTTGTTCATACCCTTTCCGCGGTATATAGTGATACATCAACCTCGCGCACGTTCCTCGCCTGGCATATTAAGTTAAAGTATGAATGTCCGTGGAAATCATTGCGCGTCTGGTCGCCGGTGGAACATCTCCTAGATGCCTAACTCAACACGAACTGGAACTCAATACAATGAAGAGCAACCCTTGCCAGCTGATACAATATCACACAAACAGCAAGTCTTATCCATCGGATCTTGAGACTGGCTGCGGGAGCGTCTGCCAAGTTGATCGTTGCACTTCGTTCTCCCTGATGTCGCGTAAGATAAATTCATATGTACGCACAACATGGTCCCGATTGTCTGGTCATTGCGTATAGGTGTCAACCCAGTCAGATCTGCTGCATACCAGGTATGATCCCATACCTTATTCAAGTGGTCAAGACATCGGTATTGGTGTCCGATAGCCTCCACATGTACCACATGAAAAGGCTTCTGTACGGAGCGAACTTGGAGCTCATCTCTACCATCTCCTTCTCTGTCATGTACTTCCATTTCCCACCTTTCGTGCGAAGCTTATTAACATCTCGTCCTGCAAGTACTGCCATTCCTCTTTGTATGCCCAAGTCTCCAGTACTGAAAACATCCATGCGCTTCAGAGCAAATGTTGCGAACATCTCAGCACTCCATGGTCCGATACCGCGGACTGTAACAAGCATGTGCATGACTTCTTGATCTGTAGCCGAGACCAATTTCTGCGCACTGAGCTCGCCGCTGTTGAATTTCTCAGCAAGACCCTGGATGTACTCGGCCTTCCGTTGCGACAGCCCTGCAGTACGGAGCTTCTCGATTGAGGTCTTGGCTATAGCTTCCGGCGATGGAAAGTAGTCCTTGGGAGGATTGGCATCAAAGAGAAGGACGAATTTCTTGCGAATCGATGAGGCTGCTGCCCCAGAGACTTGCTGGCCAATGATACCACTTGCAAGGCTCATGAAAGGGTCAATCACCTCCTTCAGTCCATCTGGACTGAATATTTTGCAGTGATTACGTTCGATGATCGTTCTCAGTCTTGGGTCAATCTCAATCAGATGCTTGCAACCTTCTGCAAGCAGCGTTTCTGTTGAAGATGTCGGTGTCGGTAGAGGGACTGACCACTTCACTGGCGTCGTATTTGAGTAAGCAACAACTCGTGAACCACGGGGAGTCGAAAGGGGAGCATTCGCGGCGTGCGGATCGGCCGGTCGCGGTTGCAGGCTACTACTGCTTTGATTGACGGTGGGAAGAGCACCAGCGGCCATAAAATGCACATTTGACAGAGTTGGCGTAGGAGGTGGTGGCTTTGATGGTGACTCTTTCACAGTACGCCTACGTTTTGGATTGGGCGTTAATTCAGCTGCTAATTCCGACTTCACATATCCAGTAGGTATACTTGAAGAGTCTTTACGCTTCTTGCTTGACGCAGCCTTCTTCATTGAGGCCCGATCAGTCTTCGACCTCAAGACTATGTCTTCTACGGGCAAGTCGTCCGCTGATTTGATCACATTCGTCGAGAGACGAGCTGAGCGACGAGTTGACATGGTTGCAGCACGAATCCGGAAATAGCCAGGGATTATTAAAGAGAGTTGTTGTAGAAGTTGATGAGGCATGCAGACGTTCATGCGACGAGAGAGACGCGGGACTCAGGAAGCTTGAGGCCGCCTGCAAGTAAGACGGGTATGACGCACGCAATCACCAATGCACGGGTGTCGCGTTAAAAGCCGACATGGAAATCTAACACGGTCTCGCGAAATCACGTGACAGCGTTAGATACTCAATCCAGCGTGGCATGTAACGGTATGCTTTAGGTATGAGCTATTTGTGTGGGCATTTTAAAAATACAGCTTGATATAAGTGCTGGCACTTATTGGTAGTCTTTACGAACTAGCTGGCCATTCCTTTTCTCGATGAGATGTAATGCTCCTGTTCGAAATAATTACTCTTCATGACCGACACATGCCAGAGTCATCCAGAACACTGGTGCCTACTCCTACTTTCTACACCCAATAATTTGACAGTTTGTATGACCCACGTTTTCCCGTCCCATTGATGGGTAACGGACTCTTGCCGCGGACTGGCCTCGCGCTCGCGTGCTCAGTCGTGCCAATTAGGCGTGTGGGATTGAGGTCCTTGGCTGAACATATGCTAGACTCGTGATCTCCGCTCGATGTGATATTGCCCTGGACGCCCAGTAATTGTCCTCCAGACAGAGCTCGACTGTATTCATTGGGACGTTATCTTTTCTCAAGTAGGATCGGCCTCCTCAGCCTCTTCAGCCTCACGCTCGCGCTTCGCCTCCTCCTCTTCTTCCCTCTCACGCATATGCATCGCTTCTACCAAGACGTTCCCTTCCATTCCGACGTCTTCGTCTCCGTCCGCACTTTTGACAGCTTTGGCCTTCTTCGAAGCCTCAATCCTTTCCTTTACCAGTCTTGCAATCGCGTTGTCGGTTCTTGTGTTCAGTACTTCGAGTTTTTTGTCCAGATCCCGCTTCAGGTCCCAGTTTGGCTTCTTCGGCTGGAGTTTGAAGAGATCGAGCGGTTGACCAGCCTGCTCCTCGGCCTCAGCCGCAGCTCTCGTTTGCTCTGCAAGCGCTGCAGCTTGTTGCTCCAACGTGATGTTGTCACCAGCAGGATTGAATTCAAATCCTAATTTTGGGCCTCGTATCTCGGGGTCGTAGTTCCGACCTGACAGATAGCTGCTTGTTGAGCTTAGTGCTCCTGACACAGTCCCAGTCAGAGCAGTTGAGGTCCCATCTTCGTCACCGCGCTCATCGCTAGGTTGCTTACGCTTCAAAGATCCTAATTTGGCTAGTCGGGCTTTTCGTTCTTGGGCAGCAGCGTCGAGTGTGGAGATCGACGACATTTTGCATCAAGGTTCGTCGAGTTTTGGCAGTGGAGGAGCTTGAATTAGGTCTAACATGACTGGAGAAGAGTTTCGTGCCGCGGTGCTCGCTGGCCCGTGCACGCGACTCGAAAGTTCAGCGCTTCAAAACCTCTGCTGCGTTACCTTTGAACACTGCAATGCGCTCGCGACGCAACATTCTAACCTCTATTCACAACATCTACCATGCTATAGTGATCGTGGTAGACTACTTTGTATATACACAAATGCGACACCGACCTTCTCTGTCCGTACCTCATGCCCCGAGGTCCTGTTCCAGCAGTGTCCAGTCTTTGTGGCCATGACTTGCAGACTGTATCATTCCTTGCTCCCCGACTCACTTTGGGACGTCCATCGACTCCCAGATCTTCCATACGACGCAACATCGATAATTGTCAACACGAAAATGGTCCAATCCAGCCGCACCACCAGTCACAGCGGAATGCAGCTGCTTCAAGCTTCATTAATATTTCCACATTCATGCGCAGAACATTCTGTCGTTCTCTGACAAATGCTCCCGCGAGACGATACACACATTCTGATGTTTCTTCGAAGATCAGACGTACGTTCACTGGAGTATCGCCTATAGGCAATCAGAAGGCGACTGTGATGAAACGACGAGCTACTTTTGAAGAGGGGCTCAGGCCCGGACAATCACGAACTTCGATTCCATTCCTCTCGGATAGGCAACGCTTGTGGCGTGAATGCATTGAAATACTTTCGAAAGGAGGAACGACCGAAGAGCTGCGTCTCAAATACAATCTCAAGGACGGTTACAGCTGGAGATGGACTAAAGGATATGGGGCCTTGAATTCGATCTGGGATCCTTGGCCCCTGGACCGCCCATTCGTAACTTCTCCCGAATTCCACCCCAAGGTTAAGCAGTGGGTGCAGCTTCTGTGGGAAGGCGAGCCAGACCGTGAAACTTTTGCTGGGAGATGGCATACTTTGGTTGTAAATTGGAAAGCAGCTAACGGCTATAGCAATGCGGAAGTTGTCGAGCTCCTTTTGTGGCTGCTCTATGATGACATTCCGCGAGCAATGCAATTGCTCGAAATGTGGACCGCAAGCAATTCTAGAGCTCCCGCTCATGTCATTGCGGATGCCATTTGGTACATCGCAAGAGTCGAAAGAGCTCGCCAAGTACAAGGCCATGCTCATGATGAGAGATTCATTCCGACGTTCTGGACACTATGGAAACAATGTCAACTTCTGCCTTATCGCATGCATCCCAACCTATTATTTCTTCTAGACTTATTGTCATCTGAGGAACAAGCTCAGAAACTTTATGATGGGCCGGATTCCAAATATATCCCTCAGTATCCCAATATGCAACTCAGGCTGGCGAAAGAACATGCGCTTCTCGGTCATGTTCCACAATGTATGGGTGCCCTGAAAAGGGCGTTTGACGCAGGTTTGGACAAACGAAACCCCTGGATTCTTCAATCCTGTTCGTTTGTAGTCAAACATCTTCCTCTGTCGTTGGAGGATCGATACGAGTCCATTTCTGAAATTGTGGCTTTGCTCGAACAGTACGAGCTGAAGCACAATATAATGTATTATAATAACATCATGCTGCAGGCCATCCGGGCTGCAGAGAAAGCTCGAGGCCCTTTCGAAAGGTATCAGCAGAGCACTAATATCCCCGATGGTCTTGCAACGGCATTGGAAACTTTCAACATGATTAGGGACCACGGCATCGAACCAGATGATTGCACGTATGGCATTGTTCTCAGAGGGTGCAACCTGTCCGATCGCAAGGATCTTCACGACGGCATAGTACAAGTCTGTGCGAAAGAGGCTCGAAAGTCGGGTAACGTGCAGACTGCTATCGAGTACTTTCACTACCTTTTTCGATATCACAGGATCTGGAAAACTCCCGGGATTTTCAAAGTCCTGGTGGAAGAATATCGTAAATTCTTCCACTTGTCCCCACTTAAAACTCTCGGCTTCATCGGCGACAAAGAATATGAGAACACGCAGGACCAACAAGCGCCCAAACCTGTCATCTTGATAATGCTTCTTGCGCGCCTTGGTGAGACCGCAAATGACCCATCTGCTGAAAAATGGCTTTACAGTCGCTACCTCGACTTCCGCGCCGCCATCACCACTGCAAACCAGGATCTTGCCCCCCTGATCGAAACACCACACGCACACAACGCGTACATGCATGCCTGGTGCCGCCACCCAGGCCTCCTCAAACAAGCCCCATCCATCATCCAAGACATGTCTGCCGAGATCCCGTCTGCCAACCTATACATAAAAAGCCTAGGCCGCCACTTGCGCCCTGCAAAAGCAGACATCGTCAGCTGGAACATACTCATCAACGGCTTTATGCAACACGGCCAGCCCGCCGTTGCAGAGAAACTGAGAGAGATGATCAAGGACCGTGGCTTGGAGCCTACGGCCGTGACCTGGAGCACGCTTGCGACAGGCTACGCGGCGCTGCAAAACGCAGAGGCCGCGGCGCACATGCTTCGGCTGGGCGAGGCCGATGACAAGTTGGACAATGAGCATATGTCGTTTGCGCTGTGGCTTGTCATGAAGAAAATTCGTGATCGTCCGGCGCTTATGAAAGCGTTGGACAATACTGCGACCCAGAAGCCGAGACCTGTCCTAGATATGAGCAGCGTGCAGATATCGGTGCCTTCTGAATGTGTGGAAGGAGACAAGAACCTAGGTGACGAAAAACCAAGTGATCAGCGACCAAGTGACAAAAATCTAGATGACGAGGGATATCATGTTGAAGACTTCGCTGAGGTTGCCGGGACTTACTTTAACAGGCATGATAGCTTGTCGACAGGTGAACATCAGGAAGCGTTTGAGTCGGACGTGTCAGTGCCGAGATCATTTGATAGTGTATAATAGTATATGTGTACAGCGGACATAGACACACTTTTGTCAAATATGAATCACACCTGAATTATCTCATAGCCTGAACGCCCCCGCAGTCCGCCTCGTATCATTGCCCTTGACCTGGCTCCCATCCACGTTAGTCAGTTCACCTTTCTTCCCAATAATCTTGACGCCACCCCTCTTCAGAGCTCCTACGACCTCCTTCTCCTGCTCCTTCTTTCCTGCTTTCTTCACAACCTCCTTCCCGTCCCGCCCTACCATGACAACCGCCTCATTCGCCTTTTCCTTCTTCGCCCTCTCCTTCGCCCGCCTCCGCCGCCTTGCCTTGTCTTCCCGTTCCATCTCCTCTTGTGCAACAGGCATCCCGCCCCGCGTGACAATCTCGCCACCAATCTTCTCCTGCCCAGGCTTGTAGACTTCCTGTGGTGCGAGCTGACTTGCGGAGCCCATGTCCGTACCTGCCGTCGGCCGCGCGTCTTCCAAGGATAGCGCAGGCGCGTCGACACGGATCTCGAGCGAGGGAGCGGCGGGCTTGGGCCGGTAGTGGTAGCTACACAGAGCATCCAGGCTGCGACTTACACTATTCCATAGATTGCTGATCTCGTCATGTGCAGCTTCGATTTTTGCATCGGCGGCGGATACATATGCCGGGTCTGTCTTGGCGAGATGTTCTTCCTCGTAGATTTCGCCGAGGCCTTTTGCGCTCTTTGTGTCCGGAAGATCCACCAGTCCTCGGCGTTTGGGGCCTGTAGCGAGGTCATCGGGTCTGCGACGTATGAGTTCGTCGAATTCTGAGGATAGGATGCGGCGCTTGATCAGCGCCTCAATATCTTCAGATACTTCGGCGGTGATTACGGGCACGGGCTTGCCAGCTCGCTCGAAGTCGAGATCTTCTTCGAGTAGGGAATTTATTGGGCGATCAGTCGCACGAGCTTCACCTGACAGTGTCCAGGAACGTTTTGCGACGTTTTCGGCTTCCAGTTTGCGAATTTCTTCGGCGATTTTAGCTTGCCGTCGCTCATGGGTGGAACGGCGTGATACTGGGTCGCCAGGATCCAGCTCTTCGAGCTCCGATTCTTCGCCTTCGTCGTCTTCATCTGAGAAGAGATCACGATGAACATCGGCCATAGCGCGTTCGATATCAGCTTGATCATTCTCTGCTGTCGTACCATCCGTGATAGAGCCAGCCCCCTCCTTGGCAGGGAAATTGTGCGGATTTGGCCGACCACGTTTTTTCTTGTTTTTGCCCCCTTTCTTGGAGGCCGGAGGAGCAAAGAAATCGGCATACAGGATATTATTAGCATTAGTAAGACCATTAATGTCTCCTGCATCCATATCCTCATCATCGTCGTCCATATCGCTTGCTCCTTCAGGAGCATCAAGGTTCATGTTACCGAAAGCTGGAGCACCCTCGTCTTCGTCGTCCCCGTCATCGTCAAGTTTCATAACACCATTCGTAAGAGACACGTTCCCTCCAGCAAGCGGGTCAGCAAAGAAATCGATCTCTTCGTCCTCGTCGTCTTCTTGTGGATTTTGCTGTTCCATGAGTTGTGACTGCTTATTGAAAGTGTCTATCGAAAAGAAGCCATCGTTCAGTCCAAATTTGTCCGATACAAATTCTTCCGCTGGTGTGTCATCTACGTCTTCTTCGTCTGATAGACCGTTCTCGAGTCCTTCCATTCCGTCCATGTTTTCCTCGTCGCTTTCGTTGGAACCATCGATTAGATCTCCAGCATCCGAGGCAAGGACTTCTTCCTCCTGTTCCTGTTCACCATCCCCAAGCTCGTCAATAAAATCCTCGCGATCAGAACCATCTTCTTCGCCATCATCATCCTGATCTTCTGAAACTGAATTTACCGCCCCATCGGCGTCCAAATTCTGCTCAGCCAACGCCCTGACAACCTCCTCCTGTGTAGCATCGATGACCCTCCTCGCCTGCTCCCACACTTGCTCACACTTAAATCCCTCCACATATACCTTTTTCATCCGCAACATATCCTCTGTACTACCATTCTCGCCCCTCTTCCTCTTTTTACGCATCTCATTCTGGCGTTGCTCTTGCGCCGCAGTAACACCTGAAGCTAGTGGATCAAGCAATTGCTTCGCGAGCGCAAGTGCAGACGCGTGTAAATTTTTGTGCGGCTGTAGGAATTCAAGAGGTTGCTGGGAGAGAGTGGTGAGCAGTACATCGGCGAGCGGGCTACGGATGTCCATGGTTGCGGCAGACAGGGTGTGGGAGGATGTTGATGTGGGCGGGGAAAAGGATGGGGCCGGCATGAGTTTTGTAGATTACAGAGCCCAGCTATGTGCAAGCTGAGCAATTTCTCGAAAGTGTCCCGGTCGTAAAATTCGTCGAAAGTGTATTGTATTAACATGTAGACGAGCTGGGAAAAAGTTCATGGCGGAAATTTTGAAGTACCGCCGAGAAATGCCCGTGCGCCGCCCAAGAGCTCAGTCGTCCTCGACGGCGATGGATAGCCGCACTTTATTCTACAGCTCCATATACGACTTTGACCTGCTCTACTTGATGACCCGCATAGCCACCAGCGTCTGGTTGCTCGCATAGAGACAATTGGCCAAAAGTATTGCCGCTTACTGCACCCTAAATCGAGCATCGAAGGGAAAAGACCCTTCTCTCACGCTATGGGCTTCACAACAGGCTTCGTACGTTCATGTCCCTCAAACCTCGAGAAGATCGAGGTCTAACCATAGTTGTATAGCTCGGTGGTGTAACCCTCACGACCTCAATTCTTTATCTCGCGTCCGCGCTTCATACACAGACCCGCGCGCGCCAACGCGAACTTCTCCGGCAGCAACGCCTTGTACTCTACAACATTGTCGACCCACAACCCGAAATTGAACTACCCACGCGGCGAGAAGTCCAGGTAGGTGTCGTGGAACAAGCGAAGGACGGTTGGAACCGCGAACTGGAGAAGGCCGTGCGGTGGGCACAAGAGAAAGACTGGGCACTACTCAGACAGGGGCTCGAGGAGGATGTGGCTCGATTATGGAGCAGGGTGAAGGCGAGTACGGAGAAGAAGGCGGGTGAGGTCGTGGAGAAGGCTACGAAGTGAGGATGAAAGGGGCAGTGGATTCTCGCAACTTTACAATTAGGGGTCAGCAATGCAGTGAAGTCTTCACAAATTTAGCTATACATCATTATCTGCACAAGTGTCTTCATCATTGCTTAACATGCAATTATAGTATTCATCACAGCTATAACCAGGTCACACATGGCGATATGCAGAATCACTTAGGTAGGTGTGCAGGAGATGGAATAAATGACGCAGTACGAATTGCATATGTAGTTTTTCCCGGGTATCGATATCCATGGAATGATTCGCAATCGTGCATGAAGAAAAGTGAAGAAAACTCGTATCAACTAACTAAGGGTAGCCCGGGTAATTTACCCATTCTAACCACACGAGGCCAGTTCCGGTGTCATCAGCGCCAGAAATGCAGCGAAATCGAGTTACTTTTGGGCCATGCGATGGATGCTGTCCCAGTCCCGGACGCCGTGTATTGACAACTCCATTAATAATCTACTCATGTGGTAGTCCAATTCGAAAGCATCAGACGCTCAGTGATGTCGGCCTGTAGCTGTAGCTACAGGAGCTGGTGCCGGAAGTCGTGCAGCGGCAGGGTGATTTTGCCCAGGTAAAGAGAACTTGGGTGGTGGGATCGAAGCGGGCGGTGGTGGCTTTGGTGGCAGATGGGAAGGTGTGCCCCATTTTGCAATACTACTCTCATTCGATGTGAGCGACTGAGCACTATGGTTTGGTCCAGTAGGGACATTGGACGCTTGTGTCATGGACGAGGTTGATGCAGGCTGCGGTAGCATGCTAGGCCGACTGCCATTGCTTGGTTTCACCGTGCTAGGAATATTTTGCAGGAAATGCGGTGAAGCGAATGCACTTGACTGCTGAGACTGAGGAGGACTTGGTCGTGCCACATGACCTTGTGAAGACATCGCATACGACTGGCTCGGATAGCTATGCATTGCAGGTGGTGTCATCTGAGCGTGCTGAGCTTGCATTGAGAAAGAAGCTCTGCCCCCAGGGATGAATGCTTGGATCTGAGGGTTGAATTGATTACGGTTGTAGCTGCCAGGGAGCGGGTGCTGATTTTTATTTTGCTTTCCGTTGGCGAGAGAAGGTGCAGGCAGCTGTCCATACGCATAGTTGCTTTGGTAGCTCGCCTGATTCATGGGAGATCCTTGTGGCTGATATTGGTTCTGGGAGGGCTGATAGCTTGACTGATGTGGCATTGTCGTCCAGTTCTGGGCCATGGACTGCTGTGGATGATGCTGAAGTGCATGATGAGCTTGATATCCGCCCATAAGGACCGGGCTAGCTTTCGGCATCTGTGGCGTGATGTTAGGTGCCGACTGAAAGGATTGCATACCCCTTTGGAATTCTGCACTCAGGTCGTAGCCCATCGGTTGACTAACACCATAGTTTAAAGGCTGACCCTGTTGATAGACTTGGCCCTGCCAGACATATGGCTGAGAGGCCTCCTGCTGCATTTGATAGCCATTTTCGTAGGTCATAGGCTGCTGCACATGTTGGGGCATCATAGAATATTGATGCTGCGGTATACCGTTGGAAGCATATTGTCCGTAAAGTATGCTGCTGCTGTCTGGTTGATAGGAGGCCGCTGCAGGGTATGCCTGTGGTGGATAGGCATTAAAATGAGCACGTGACTCAAATTCTTCATCGTCATAGTTGCGACTCTTCTTTTTCGTCTTCTTCCCAGATGCGGAGCTGGAGCGCGAGGTATCATTCTCGTCAGCCTTCACGCCTTCGGCTTGTTCAACAGCATCAGCCGCTTGGCCAAATATGCGCTGTCTCACTTCATTATATTTTGCCATTCTGACTTCATGCGACGACGGTTGTTTGCCTTTCCCATCGCTGTCTCCATCGCTTCCCACTGAGGTCGCGTTTGAGGGCCCATCAGAGTTTGCTGTAGTGTTCGTACCAGACGTTGCTTTTCCGTCTTCACCACGCCGCATTATTTTACGTGTCGGTGCATCAATCGGCGGGGTATTTACGACTCCATTGTTGGATGAGAAACTCAATAGAGGCGGTGGAATCCTGCAGTATTCAGTCTTCGAGACCCTTACGCCGGTCATTGACTCGTCAACTGTGTGAGCAAGAATGTAGTAGTCTGCAAGCTTATGTGCAAGCATCCGATAGAAAGCATTGCAACTCGGTAGAGACAGCTGGCATTCCTTCGGATCCTTGACGAAATCGATCAGGTCTTGCTCTAGCTTCAGGACCCAAACGCGATCACGTTGAGATTCTAAAGCTTCCAGAAGCTTTTCGTCTGGTAGTGGACCTGTATGACCGTAATCCGCACGCAAGCCGTTATTCAAGGTCATATGTGCAGATACTGACGGCGCAGCCGCGCTGAGAGGGCGACTATTCACAAACTGCGTACCATTAGGCACAATTCCAGGAGGCAGTCTTCCTGGTGGTGCTCCACGAAGTGCTGCAGGACCGAGCGTTCCGATTTCGCGCAACTGCTCGCTGAAGGCCCTCGCTGCACCCACATCCGACCCCATCCTCGAGTCCGCAGCAGTAGATCCGGGAGGAGAATTGCCATCTTCATCAGCAGCTCTGAGGCTTGCGCTATCATCGGGTCGAAGGGACTCTTTTTCATCAAGGGCAAAGGTAGTGCCGGAAGCTACGCTCTTGCCATCCAGGCTTGGCGGTTTTGCTGAATCGCCAGATGATGAAAGTCGAGTAGAGACTTCTTCAACAGTCGGCTGTCTGCCGCTCATAGATCTCGCAGGTTGGCTAGGATCGATGCGGCGCTGTACAATGGAGGTGGTGGCAATTGAGTTACCTGTTGTTGACCATTGCTCGCTATGAAGCTCAAAGTCTTCAGGTTTGGCAAGAATAGTCTGTCGACGTTCGCTTGGGCTCTCGGTCGAGTCTGTTGGATCTACTTCATCTTGAGGAGTGGTAGTGACAGCGTGTGTGGCAGAAGAGGAAATCGCGTGTTGAGGGTCAGATGTCGTGGTTGCATTAATTTCTTTTGTGATATGAGGTTTGTAAGATGACGATGCAACCTACAGCAGGTCAGATCCGGAGAAAAAATCTGCCTGAACGCGGCTCGAGAAAGAAAGCTACGTCAAAGAGATTACAACGACACGAACTCACTTTCGCAAAGGAAGGCTTATTGAGAGCCTGTTGCTCGACAGGTGGCGAAGCCATGGAAGCCATGTTGAAATGTAAGTCTCGTGCCTATACGAGCGCAACGAAGGATAGTCTACAATAGTCGTTGTGTAATCGTAGAGTGACCTGTCGCAAGAAGGCGCGGCGCGGGCGCAACGAGAGTAAGAAATGAAGAGTTGGTTGAAGATCGATTCTCAGGAGAGAGGCTGCTCAAGGAAAGCGTCGAGGGCTAGAGCCACAGAGCTGGACATGATTGAACTGACACATAGGCCGTGGTCGTTGTTGGTGCGACGTTGTGTGCAGAGGTTGAGGGGTCGGTGGACGGGCAGACAGAGAGGGATGGAAAGTTGTGGGAAGGTTCTCAGGGCGCAGGGCTGACTTTAACAGACGACGAGCCACACGCGCAACCCACACAGCGCGTAGAGTCGATTTAGATGCCAGAAAGGTCAGCTGCAGATAGTTTGTTGGACGAGAATACTCGGTGTGATGTTACGGACAGAGTCGCCTTAGGAAGTTAAAGCGAGATGGGGGGACAGAGTGAAGATGGAGGACTGGGCCTTCAATCGATGTGTGGTGCGGTTTGGGATACAGATTTCGATCTGCCCAGCCGGACATTTCGATTGTTCCGAAGTTGAGCCGATGCAGCCTCCCATTGGTCTGCGAAATAGACCTCTCCGTTCTTCCTTCTGCTGTTCCAGGTTCCAGGTTCTATTAGGGCTAATTCATTCTCTCCAAGTCTGACTCTGACGGTCGGCCCGCAAGGCCTTTGCTCTGATCAACTGTACGATCTCGCTACTTGTCAACTTACGTCACTTGAAGTCAACTCTGTCATGAGCACGAACTTTTCTACAACACACGCACGGCACTTATGAAGCCATATCGTCCTCCAGGCCGCTCGCGTGCTGCCCCCAGCACCCTGTGCCAAAAATGCTTAAAACGAGGCCACTTTAGCTATGAATGTTCTGCAAAGGCTCAAGAGCGTCCATATGCAGCAAGACCGTCACGAACACAGCAGCTCTTCAATCCGACACTAGTCCCAGAGCTGACCAACGACGTACCGGCTGACCTGCTACCAAAGAAAGGTGTGGCTGATGAGCAGCTGGCAAAGAAAGAGTTGGAGCGCACAAGGAAACGATCCAGAGATGAAAGAGAGCGAAGGCACCGCCGCAAACGGTCGCGTTCAATGTCCTCGCGCGCTTCGTCTGTCTCGACCATCTCAACAAACCGTTCGCGGTCACCGTCGCCGGAGCATACGTCAAAACGAAAAAGATTGTCGGGTACAATGCCCAATGTCCATCTAGGCCGAGATGAACAGATGGGTGGGAAGAGAAGGAGAAGCCCGAGTATTTTATCGTCAGACTCGCAAGTCTCGCGGGTATCTGACGGCATGAAGGAGGTTCGCAATCACGACCGCAACACCAGAAGGCGACTCAGCTCATACAGTCCGTCACCCAGGGGCCGGCGCAGAAGGAGGGAGATGATCCACGACGATATGGAGCGTACACCCAGCAGAAGTCGGACACCGCCAAGGAGAAGATCACGCTCGCACTCAACACCACGAGGTCTGCGAGCACGGAGAAGCCCGTCGTTACGGTCTCGGTCACGCAGTCCCGTCTACGCGAATGGCAGTCGCGGTGGTGACTCTGTACCGGATAGGCCAGCTTTACGCAATGGTTTCGACCGACGACCAAGTTCACCTCCTTTACGAAAAGAACGAAGCCTTAGTCCTTTCAGCAAGAGACTGGCCATGACTAGAGCTATGAATTCAGGGCAGGGAGATAATCGCATGAACCAAGTCCATCCCCCTCCATGGCGCTGATACTCACATTGGGCTAGCCCAAATTTGTATCATATGGTTCTTCGTGTATCGCCACATGAACTTCTCTTCATGAACCACAATCGTATGGAATCTGGAAGACAATTTGCCCACTGATCCCTTTACTCAAATATAGATCAGTTTTCCCGTGTCGTCATTTCAGGTTGAGAAAAGGACAACATATTTCCTCTAATGGAGTCACTTCCCATAGAACCTGCTCTCATCAGGCCCCGGGACTACCCATCTGAGTCGATTCGGTACTTTCGCTTATGCTGCAGCGAAGCCATAGAGGCAATATAACCGAGTTAGGCATCTGGGCGCAGGCGTTACGAGCAGAAAAAAGAATTACAATGCGGCAAATGACAAAATCAAATTTTGCTATAGATTCCACAATCGTATCTGAGTTCTTCTTTTCCCGACGACTCGACGATTGCATCGAGTATCAAATCCTACGCTAAATTACTCCCTGGATGAGACGAACGAGTTCATAATTGAGGGGGACTAAAACGACTTTTCTGGTGAATCCAAGCGTAGTTTCATCATACCACGCGTGCCATGTACCTAGATACCGTCCTTACAGTCTCTATAATCTGGCAGAACGTTTCCTGAAATTGCATCAAAGGCTCAAGTCGTATGAGGGCCCTATACAGAGATATTGAATGGCTTCGGCGCGCTTCTTTGAGAAAGCTCTACTTGGGAAGGTTGTCGGTGCGAATGTGTTGCAACATCTGTTCTACGCTACGCGTGTACAGGCTCGATTGAAAACAATAAGTTACAGTGGTCCTTCTAGGTATATTCTTGGATATTTAATGCTAAGATGCTGGTTCTGCGAAGTTTAAACGTGCACAAAATGCTGGAAGTGATTCTGGACAAGATATTCAATCAAATTCGAAGAACGAAGCGGATTGACAACTTTTAATGCATGACTGTGAGCAAACATGTCACGATCGACCCTTGTTCAATTACCCCGACATCTTCATTCGCATCTTTTAGTTTACCCACTAAATACATAAAGATGTGTCCATCCTAAGTCTTACGATTGCAAAAAGGTCATCAGTAATCAGTCATGGCGAGTGAGGCTAGGAGCAACTTGGCAATCAAAAGCCACAATTGACCGCAGTATTCAGTGAGAGAGCTTAGGACTCGGGCACTGAGCATGTATGAGTAAAACAGCATGAGCGCTGTAAGTGATATACTGGAAGGGTTCGCTATTATCTGCCATCCATGCAAGCTTTATAGTTCTCCAGACATATCCTCACCGGTGGTACATTCGTTCGAATGGGATCCTGTGCCAGAGATTACTGGATGAAACCCTATTTCGACGTATATTAGGCGCCGTACCAGAATTCAAGAGTCCAGGGTGGGTATGCTTGCAGAAGTGACGGCTCTTTTACAGTCACGTATCTATCACTTAGTTGCCCAGAAGGCATTCGCCGATGTAAGAGTGAACGAAGCTCATATTGTTTCACAGAAGTAAGTGGATTCAAAAAAACAGGTTCGAAAGCTGCGCGGTATACAAGGAGGTGATCCAATTTAGGGAAATAGGTTTCGATCTTCATTGCTTAAAAATAAACATATCTCATATATATCTGTTACACTTGTTTTACATGGATGTTGTACATCTATAAGAATCGCAGAATCAAAGAAGTTGCAACGAACGATGTCTACGGTGCTTAGGTGGTTTCGCCACACAATTAGTCGCAGAAAACACTTGCGATGGACAGCCCTGCACCGACAACAGCGCCAGGAGTACCAGCCAGGCCAGCCACAGCAGATCCAATTCCCAGGATATCCGCGCAAACACCCTCCACCGGGTCTTTCTCGACGGCAATTCCCATGACGATGGCATACTCGGGCTTGTCAAACATGGCGATGGTGACGCTGGAAGGGATGGTCGCAACAGTCTTGCTGCCGCCCGCCGGGCCTTCGCCTGTGACGGTGTTCTTCTTCGTGGCACCTTTCAGAGCAGCCCGGAATGCATCGACCATGAGGTTCTCGGCCCAGGTCTCGTAGCCATTCGAGTTGAGGTTGATGGTGATTGTGGCCTTGTCGCCATTCTCGAGCACGGTATCAAGCTCGTAATCAGATGGCTTGCACTGTCTGATACCGGTTCCGTAGCAGTTTGCGGCAATTGCGTCCGTCACTTTGTTCAGGTCGATATCTCCAATCTCGAGGTTGTCGGGCTTGAACGCTACCGTGACTGCCATGTTGCCGCAACTGTTGTCTGCAACGCAGTCGGAGCACCAGGCGCCTGGTCGATCTGCACACTCGCCCCGGCGTGCGAGAGTGTTTGGAAGAGCCGCTGCGGTACTGAACGCGGCTAGGGAGCTGACAAGGAAGGCTTGAGTGAACATTTTGTGCTGATTGATGCTTGGTGGTATGGTGTGAAGAGGGATGTGCAATAAGGTAGTAGAGTTGGTTTATAGTTCGTTCGTTTGTTTGGTTTTGGCTTCGAAGTGGATAGTTGTGAGTCTGAATGTTCATCTGATGGCAGTCAACGGGTCACTCTTATATACTTCATCAGGCATCTCCCTTTCCCCAGCTGCTCTTTGGCCTGAGCAAGAGTAAAACTTCCTCATTGCATGAAGAACTCCATCAGCCCGCAACAACCAACATGACGATCAAATTCCTCGTCGATCGCTCGTCATTGAGGTTGGAGGTATGTGATCTAACGGTTAGAATGGGTCCATAAGAAGAATGCTCGCACGAAATTCCTTTAGTGGGCAAGGTCGCACAACCTGGTCTAACAGGATGGCCAACCTTACTCTTGACGTACGCAAGAATCACGAAGAGAGCTTGATGAGCTGAGCGTAGCGAGCTTGGCGGCCTGCTCTGATTCAGGTCGTCATGAGTTTCACGGTTTATCGTCGCGCCTACGAGTCAATATCCAACGGTTGGCGGCTGTGGCTTGGCGGTCCCCTGCATAAATGGACCCCAAATGACGTTCTGCCAAGGTGTGGTTGGTGCGTTAAGGTTGATCGAACGATCTCGGAATCACTTAGCGAGAGGTCTCCTTAACCGATTGCGTATTAGCTCGATGGTCAAGTGCTCCTTTTGCCTGGTATATCCACATTATAATGCATCAATTCTATATTTGGCCTTAAGACAGAATTCTTCTTTCGCTGCACTACTATCGCAACATATGCCACCCTTGATCACGACGAAACCGTATATTCCTTCAGAGTACCTTCGTGGTTCTGGAGTCTCGAATCCTACATTCGACATAATAGATAGTTCCGAAACAGTACCTAGCTCCAGCCCTGTTCCAACTCCACTGTCTTATTATGCCAAGCTTCTGCTACTAGCTCAGACCCATCTCTATAGCATTCATCTCACGATGGCCCTGTCAGTGACGTCAATTCGTTTTCCTCAGGCCAGATTCCTGCAATCGTTGGCTCAGACTGCGTCCTGTATTTTTGCTTGTATAATTAGTCTGAAGGATACCTTTATTAGCATATCCGCGCTGATCAAACATAACTAAAAGCATACTATAGTCTTAGACCTTAGCGGTTCAGCTTACGCTCGTTATAGTGTACATGCTTGACATGGACGTGGCGTTACAGATCTGCAAGGCTTTAGTTTACCTCGCATCTTGGCCTTGCAACAACTTATGATGTTAGCATCAGCAGCGTATTTCAGATTCTTAATCTTCAGTGGACTCCTTCCGCGCTAAGTCAGATGATCTACTGAATCTGGGTAGTCTTACGGCAGTGATAAGCGGACCCACTCTATCTCTTGAATATATGATCGTCGGCTAAGTAAAACATAGTCCAAAGTGCAAACCAAACCCTCCCTTTGTTGTTATTATTATCCAAACTGGGGCTATTATTGAATTCTAACAAAAGTTACATTTTTGGGGGGTCCATGACTCTGAGTGTCTTCTTGATCTTCCGAAGAAGATCAGCCCAATGACCGAGCTGTTATCCAACCTGCCGCATTGACATGGAATTAGCAATGTGTTGTGTTATGATGGTGATCATGGTGTTGTATTTCGTCATCATCATGGTTGTGCTGAAAATAGCCACTCACACAATCAAACACGCAATAATGTAACAGGGAGAGTTGGAGAGTTATGTTTGGCTTCTAGTGAGTTCGAGATATATAATGCGAGTCTTGCTACCCTTAGTTCTGGCTTCATTCAGCTCAACTTCAACACTTTCCCAATCAACTTGAATACCCAGTACTCTATCATTCCCACCCGACAAACAACAATACTACAGACCAATCCCAACTTTACCACAATGCACCACATGAAGTTCCTCTCAGTCGCTGTAGCTGCTCTCATCAGCTCTACCTTCGCTGCGCCAGTAGCCCAGGAAGAAGTCGACCCAGTCGATGCTGCGCCGTTCAAGGGCGGCCAGTGTGGCGTTCACATCAAGCAAGATCGCCTGGAGAACGGAGTGGACTACTATCCCTACTTCAGGATGACCATGAGAGACGGCAGCGGCGAGGATGTCGGCGATGACTGCTCTACATACGTCGCCAACGTCGATGATCCAGACTTGGAGAAATACCCGGGCACTCTTACATGCCAACGAGGAGACTTCCCACACGGCGTTGAGTGTCAAATTGCGAATGACTCTAAGTCTTGTAAGCAGCTGCCTGTATACTCTGTCTTGGGTTTCACTGATCACTCTTAGGGCATTGCACGTACCCAAGTCCTGAGGGACCATATACTTTTGGCTTCGAAGATGGCAAAGGCCAAGGATGTTCAGTTGGAAAGGTGGACGGAACATCGGGCACTCAAGACTTCGACTGTGGTTTCAACTGCTAAATTACTGTGGTGGACTTTGTATGATTATCTGACTCTTAAGACCTGCTTTTATGTACAATATATAAACGACCGGTGTATGAATAGATATATTGTCAATTGCTTATTTTCGAATTCGCAGTCTTTTTAGACATATCATGCCGATACATATGGCTGGCTCCCTCTCGTATCCATGAAGCTGGTTTCGGACTCGTTATAAGTGCATCGTGCAAAGTCCTGTCACAAGCAGTGATAGAGTCTGTTCTGAGCAGTATACCTCTTGCATCGGATGTTTCACGGGCCTACCAGTGTGTTTGTTCACGACCTTATTAGCTAGAAACGAGGACCATGAGTAATGCCACGAGATAATGTCCCTGGTGATTTCTTTATCTCGCAACCTATCCACTGGTCTGCACAAAGAACATAACAGACTACCAAGTTGTTCACCATGTAGAGTTGTGTCGTCAACCCTTTTTCCAGACGACAGCTCTGACATCACCTATTTGAGAGCTCATAATATCCAGGACTCCGGACCAACACTCAACATTCCAGTCTTCGGATGACACCCAATATACTCAAAATCTTGTTGCTCCTGCTGCAACACCAGAACCTCATTGAACAGCCTCAGGGTATAATCGTTGTCCAATTGCTTTACATACTTAAGAAACCCTCCAAATATCTCCCTGTCAACCAGTTAGCCGATTTCGTTGCAGATCTCTTTCTCACTCACATATGCGTCGGATGCTCCCGACTCCACTTCTCCAGACTTTCCATACTGTCAAAATATCCCAGTCCAAATGTCTTATCCGTCCCCGTAGTCAACTTCTCCGGGTCGAGCACAGTCATCAGCCTGTTTTCAAGACATCCAATCTCACCTCCTTCGTCGCGCAGAAACCACATCCCCTTCTCGAGCACAGGATGCATAGTCTCGAGATACAGCTTGCGCTCCTCAGGCCTCGTATCTACCCGAACGATCAGCATATCAGGCAAGATTCACACCCCAGCCTTTCGACTCACCAGACCAATCCTGCCCGGATCGTATCACGCACAGATTTCTCTGGCCCCGGACCCGGACCCGCCTCTCAGCCGTGTCTACATCACCATCCGCCTCTCCCATATGTCCATCCCCCTTTCGCACCTCCCCTTCCAACGCATCCGTCTGTGCCACGGGCATCCGGTCACGCATACTGCCCCAATACACATGCTCGCGCATCTCCCCACTCATGTCCTCGCGCATATGCGCCACGCCCTCAGGCACTACGCGGTCCGAAAACACAGTCTCGACACGGTCAATCGGTGGGGTGAAGACCTCTTTGAACCAGCCGACTGGACCGGGTTGCAGGTCGGCCCACCACGCCTCGAAGCCGCTCGCTGCAGACCATGCAGCGTGCGCGGTGCTGCTGTGCCAGTATGCGATGACGACGTGGGTTTGATAGCCGAGACTGTCGGTGCTAGAGGCGGTATCCCAATGTTCCGGGGCGGAAGTAAGGGTGGAACGGATGAATTTGAGGAGAGGGTGGAGGGAGGAGGCAGGGAGGGATTTTGTTTGGGCGCCGTAAATGGCGATGACGAGATGCTTTGTAGATTGAGGGAAGCGGGCAGTATAAGCTGGAACGGGAGGTGTGTAGGATGGTGGAGTGTTGAGGGGTTGGGAGCGTGTGGTGCGGAGATGGGGTGGGATCGCAGCTTCAAGGGACATTATGTCTAGTGAGGTGTTCAGGGTTGTCGAATTACACTGAGGGTGTATCTATGGTGGTTTTGAAGTAAAAGCCTTGCTTTAGGTATACATCTTTCAGCGAGGATTGAGAAGATATATACGACTCAGATAACCTGCCGATTGCTTCGGAAATGTTCCGCTTGCCAATGCGATAGGCATATTTGTGGAGCTATCGTGAGACTAGACAGCGGGATTGATGGTTTAGCCAACCTTTCGATTTGTGTTGTGACATGGGGTAACGCCTGTAGTCGAGTTGACAGGTCTTGTTGCCGTAGTGTATGTGCTAAAGGTAGTGACCTCGGGTACTGATATGGATGTCCTTACAGCCCTCGGGTACCCGTGATTCGCTCGACCTTAGCTTTCAACGGTGGACATGTAGTACACATTCCCCTGATTCAAGATCCTTCTTGTTGCCAGTCCAGAGTGGTTACTTGTATCGATCTTTTATGGGTTATCAAGAAAATGTGCACTTCCAAACGCACAGGAGACATCACTAGCAAGAAAATAAGTGATTCAGTCTGAGGGCAGTCACACACACTATTGTTTAGCAATGGATTAGTGTACCCGCAACCTGGGTGTTATGCTTAGCTGCTTATACCTCATTAACAAACTTGTTTACAAGCGTCCCAATATAGGGCAGGATCTCAACACCAAACTCGTCGCCATGCTTCAGCGTTATCTTCGGACTCCGCATTGCTCCGACGCCAGCCGGAGTACCGGTAATGACGATAGTCCCAGCTGGAAGCGTGGTCCCCTGAGATAAGAACGAGACAAGCTTGGGGATCGAAAAAATGAGGTCACTGAACAGAGCGTATTAGTTTGAATAATCTTGTGCGGAAAGCACTATTGAGAGAAGCATACTTGATACCACAGTCTTGCACAACTTTACCATTATGTAGTCCCCTCAAATGTAACTTCGCTGGATCGGGAACTAGATCTTTACTGACCACTACAGGGCCAATTGGGCAACTCTCATCAAATCCTTTCGAGTAACTCCATTGTGTTGTAGCAAATTGCGCACTGCGACTAGACACATCATTGGCGGCCGTGTATCCGAGGACGTAATTCATAGCATCTGCCTCCGACACATTTTTACATGATTTGGAGATTATGATTGTGAGTTCAGACTCGTAATCGCCCGTCATGGTGCTCTGAGTTTCGTGTGGGAGGGTCGTGAGCTGGGTTGGGTAAGGATTGGAGAGAGCGGTAGATGGCTTCATGAAGACTGTAGGCACGGTTGGAATGGTCATTCCGGCTTCCTCTGCGTGTTGCTTATACTATATATTTTATAAGTCTCAAAATTCATATCCATGAAATAGGGGTGAATAACCTACGTTGAGACCAATGCAGCGAATCGTGCCAACCTCCTCTTGTGCTAAGGGACTAAGCAATTGCCCAACAACAGCTTCTTCAGTAGTCTCTTGGCCCGGAGAAAGCACTGACGACCCGCTCCAGATTCTTACTTGCACGACCTCATTCTTTGATACAGCTAGCCCTATATCTCGCTCAGCATCGAATGGTTGGCCGATCAAGGTTTTGCTTCGGTCGGATCTTGGGTGGAAGCGAAGGAGCCCTGCACATCATCAGTGACTGGCTCCAAGGTCCGATGTCGAGCCATCGCAAAGCTAGCTGCACAGCAAACATACGTTGCCAGGCCATGACGGGAGTTCTGGAGAAGAATCTTGCAGATGTAAACGCACACGAAAGTTCGTGAACAGTTCTGGTGCGTCTCGATATGAAGCCCGACGAAGATATGAGTGGCAGCAAGTGACTTCTGCAGTTGATCATGGATTTTTCGATATGGAATAGAGATTTCTACGACGCGTAAAGATCTGTTCTCGGATTGTCCGCAGAAGGATGGGGGGTTCAAATGCCGAAGTGCCCCACCCCCACAGCTTCCCACTGCACGGGCCACGTGTACGAACCAGGGACCACGCGGTTCTCCGGGCGGCAATTGTCTACTTAGGTAGTGTGGCCTTCGTAGCGAGTGTATTGTTATATTGTGGTATCACCATTCAATACGGGTTCCATCACTTTATTCTCCACAGATTTCCTTTCTAGACGAAGATGCTACAGAGGCGACTACAAATTCCCGTTGCCCAGACCATTGCACCAACCTGGCTATACGCATCCACATTTTGCCCAGCTACGAAGCACTTTACCGTGCTGTATGTGCTCCACACAGTTGGAGCTGTCCTGCACTTGTGCTATACTCCATCACTTTGTCAAGTACTCGAACAATCGAGAAGGAGGAAATGCTATTCTTCGGACCGTTCGCAGAGCGTCTAAGTTCATGCCTGCTCTATGGCACTTACAAGAGGCAGACCCCAATAACCAAACAGTTCTTCAATAGATAGTTTATCGGGACAGGCTACGTCGACAGCGGGGACTGGAGGCTGTGTCTCTTTCATCAGCTTTTCTGTGTCGGGATCCGCTTCGACCGGCTTACTCTTTCCCTTCTTTCCCTTTTTCTTCTTTGCTTTAGTCGTAGGTTTAACCTCATCCACCGCTTCAGATGCCAAGGCCACTTCCGGGGCAACGTCACAATCTGTAGGAACTTCGCACGTTGTAGGAACTTCGCACTCTTGAGCTGATTCATACATCTTCTTTCCCTTGTTCGTCTTCTTCTTGGTCGTGGTTATACGACCCCACGCCCACGTATCACCCCAGCCGTCTCCTTCCTCGCAAGCTTTAGGTTCAACCTCATCCACCGCTTTAGGTGCCAAGGCCACCTCCGGGGCACCGTCATACTCTGTAGGAACTTCGCACTCTAGAGCTGGCTCATACATCTTCTTTCCCTTGTTCGTCTTCTTCTTGGTCGTGGTTGTACGACCCCACGCCCACGTATCACCCCAGCCGTCTCCTTCCTCGCAAGCTTTAGGTTCAACCTCATCCACCGCTTCAGGTGCCAAAGCCACCTCTAGAGCAACGTCACGATCTGTAGGAACTTCGCACTCTAGAGCTGGCTCAGACTTGCGTAGCCATACAGAGTCGTCTGCAGGCCTGGCCGTGCTTGAATGGGACCCTGGTATTGACTCAGGTTCTGGTGCTGGCTCAGGCTCGGGAATTAGCTGAACCTCCTCAAGGACCAGCTCAGGATCGGAGGTAGGCCCAATATCAGAAATCGCCTCATGAATTGAACCAGGCTCAGGCTCAGAACTGAGTACTGACCTGTTAACTGGCTCGTCGACAGTCCCCCAGCACTCTTCAACCCGTGGTTGCCGAGCAGAATCTTCCTCCATGGGGAGATCAGTCTCTCTCACAGGGCTACTCGAAGCACGCTTGAAGTCAATAAGCAGCTCTACTATGAGTCCGAAAATCGCCTTTGTGAACTCAAGGTCAGTCAGGGAATCCATAAACTCATGTTGCGCAAATAATTGTACGTCCGCCTGGAGTGCTTTGCTAAGATTGCTTCTCAAATGCTCTAGGAACCACGCTTTGGAGGAGGCTAGCTTCATGAAGGTTAAGTTGCCAACCTGGATCATCAAATTTATGGGTATAGTTGTACCGTAGTATTCTGCCTGCTTCTTGCTTGTGTATGCCAAATCAGCAAGCTCGTACGCAGTAGCTGCACACAATGCCTTGATACTTCGGTCATACTCGATCAAATTCTCTGTTTCCGTAGATATGCCCACTTGTCGAAGAGTTTGATATTGCCTAGTGAAGAGAAAGTGGACCAATGTGTGAGCAACGCCGTCATCGACGTCTGAAAGGCGCATGGACGATACGTGTCCATTGCTTGCGAGCTCGGCGAATTTGGGAAATTGTTGGAGCAAATTTTGCGGGATATTAAAACGCTGTGCATCATCTCCAAGAGTTAGGGTACAGGAGGCTCCTTCATATGGTCTGTCCTATGGAATTAGCGTGGTTGCGACGTGCCCAAACAGAGGTCACTCACGAGACCAGAGGCCGGTTGTCTTCGACGGCAGGCCAATTTGCGCTCTTCGTCTTACTCTTTTTCCCCATTGTAGTGTTGGTTTCCCTGGATCGGCATAAATTCCTGGAACCTGGCGATGGCGAAAGATCGAGTGCATATCCAATGTTGCCTTGAGCAATATCACTTATATACACCAGGGCCTCCAATATAAGGAAGACAACACATAGTGCAGGCGCATGCATCAGGCAGAAGCTGATCTGTACCTAACCCTGCGCTTGCATAAGCGCCCTCGTTCCAGCGAAACGGTTCTAGGCGTCGTGCCGTTCAGCTACGCACTTCATAAGGCGGGCGAGCCAATCTTGTTCGACTTCGGTGTCCGCCATTACCTTGCTGACTTGCATCATCACGAACATGATGCAGTATATCAGTGAGATGATAGGGCATATACATTAATGCTTCTGCCTTTTGGCAGTGAGCGGGGAAGCTGAGGGGCACCAATAAATCTTCTTGGAGATAACCTAGGCGATCGAACGAATAGATGGACTGATTAGTTTAGGTTGAAATTCTCAATGAAACCTAGACGCTAGAGCATTGAAGGCAATATTCGATCGATACAGATAGCCTGCATAACGCCATTCTTCACTTTGGCGGTGAATATTCACCAGATTGCTGATACCACTGGCTGCTCCCATACACCATTACTTCCGTCGCACGATACGCGTGCAAGGTTCCCCGCTCGATGTGTTTGCTCAAAGAAAATGCGGTCACCTCGAAACTTTCTTTGGTGAATCCCTCTAAGTAAAGAACTCCCATCTAAAACGAGGATTAATCGTTTCATCCTGAATTCAGAGTAGAACATTCTCACACACTGCTTCGGTTTGTAGGGCGTGTATCAGTTCTATGCAAGTAAAGCCTCCACTCACGAACACCAGCATACCAGAATGACGCATACGATGCAAACGTTTCTTGGTGGATTCTGCGTAAAACAATAGGCCAGACCATTTTCTCCCTCACTGAGTGGGCATGATGTCAAGCTTAGTAGTGCTCGGGTCAAGTTCAGCAGCCGATTAAGATCATGTACGCAATCTCTGCGTCACAATAGATCATGGAGTTACCACACGGGCCATTGTCCGAGAACATTGGGCTGTTGGCACAGTTTGGCAAAGTTCTCGCGAGACCGACGACTAATGTACCGCAAACAATTCTGCTGGAACAAGACTCCCGTGGCTATGTGAGGGCACTCTCCTTCAGACAAGAGCTCCGAACAGCTGAAGCCTTTGCGTTATTACTATCTACGACACACGACTACAAAAAGGTAGGGGCTGTGTGTATCGAAGAGGATAGTCTGGAAAACAGGTTTATTGTGAGATCAGCCGTCAATCTAGGAGAACAGAAGCAGAGAAAACAGACCTTCGATCGACTATTGCAAGCGGGGAGAAAGTCTGCAGAATTAGGTGATTTTGAGACCAATTGCTCTATGTTACATATCTGACCGGACTAGGAGACAGCAGCGGTATACTGGTGCTTGATGCAGCTGTCGAGACAAATCACAAACGGATTCTTGGTAGATTACGGTCTAAGCACGGTCCTAAATCGCCCGTTCGTAGTCTTATTTCACGACTGGACGAAGAACTGAAGGTAGCGAGACCACTTGGAGACACTACCACGATGACAAAGTTACGACAATCTGTCCAACGATTATCTAGTAACTTCAGATCATTCGAAGCTCTACCAAGAGTGATAGCTCATGGGATAGATGGCCGAGTAGCCATAAGAAAGATTCTGTTGATTATACATGCCGACTTCGACTTTGGGGCCTTTCATGATCTTCAATCCAGACATAGGCCCCGTCACCCCGATCTCGAGAAAAAGCTCCGTAAGTTGTCCCAGTACGTGTCAACTTCACAACATATCGCACGTATCATACGCCGCCACAGCAACTGGAAATTTGCAGAGGTTCTGAACGGGCCATACGCCAATAAGATCGGCGGGGCTCAGCCTGAGGGTACGGGCCTTCTCACTCGAAGCTTGTCATCCAAGAAGACGAAGGAAAGGGAGCAATTCGAAGTGGCCCTAGGCACAAGCCTCAACAAGAAATGTGCGGCTGTGCAAGCCATTGTCTATGAAGGCTGCAACTTAGAGTGCAAAGTCCACGCTGAAGTCCAGATCATCTATCACTACCTGCAGAACCCGCAAGTTACTGTGTTACCTCGAGTCATCGCCTCCAACAAGAAGGCATGTTATCTATGCGACCTCTTCAGCAAAACTCATGGCGTATACTACATTCCCAAGACTCACGGGCGACTGTATCCGAAATGGCGTCTGCCAGAAACTGACGAACTCATACTCACAAAGCAGACAAAGAAGATTTCACGTGGTATAGTGTCGAACTTCAGTAAAGCTGTTGAGGAGGTCATCAAGCAAAAATGTCAACTACGAATGGCACGAATCCCACAACCAAGCGAAAGTAGTGCGTTTCGTTCTGGGTCCAATACCGCTTCTGTTATTTCAGGCGCGGTAGCGGCAGCGTTCCCAAGCAATACATCTATCACAGTAGCGAATCTAAATTCGGCCACAAAAGTCACCGAGACAGTTCTGAGCTCTAGGTCAGAATTCGACCGAGCGGATACTGTTCAAATAGACACGGGGTTTCTACAAAATAACGAACCATCAATTCGTGACAAAACACTACCTTCATCCAGGGCCTCCTCCGCCGTGCCTAGCGAGACTACACCACAATCTGTGACGATCAATGTGATCAAACAGGAGAGTACCGGTGACGCAGAAGGCTCTAGTCAGTATTGTGATGCGCAGCCTGCTACGTCACTGCCCAGTCTCCATAACAGCAAATATTCAGATTCTCTAGATGCGACAGGACATCCCTTGTCACCACGGTCTTCTTGTAGAAGTGAAAGTCCAGGAAACAAATTACTGGAATCACATACTTTTCATCTAGCACAAGGTCAAGCACAGGAGATCACCATTGTTTCCGGTCAAACGGTACGAGTCCATACTCCAAAAATTCGGATCGAGATCCTGAACTCAAGCTCAAAAGCAACGGGTACAGCAGAATTAGAAAAGTGTCTGAACATCGAGTGGCTTTCACAGCGGCAAAGCACAGCCTGCCCTCATGAAAGTTTTCGTAGAATTGATGTAATGATGGAGGGCTTGGATGCTGGAGAGATTGAGTGTGATCAGCTTATGCAGGATGGCGTAATTCTCTTCAAAGGAACGTGCTCTGTTATGATGAAAGTCATATAGACGTCGTTGATATGCTTGTTATTATCAATTCATCTCCGTATGAATACTAAATCACATTGCAGAGACAACATTTATTGTTGCGACCGGCGTGACATATTCACAAAAGAGCTATTCGGAGTTTTGGAGTTTTGTGCGCAGATCGGAGAGTTAAAAACAGACTGTGGGAATTATTCGTGGTCTCGACCGCAGAAAATACTAAGCCTTCTTTCCGAAGAGCCAAGCTCGGAAGATCTGTATTACCCACCAACCACTCTCTACGACGGTACTGTTCCTATACTCCCGACCTCGATCCTCAACATCGGCCATGGCGCATACAGCACTACCTAAAGGGCCAGGGTATCTGCGCCTGATATAAACGCCAGCCATGTTCAAGCCATTAGTGATACCGCCTGAGATTCTTAGCGAAGATCACCATCTGTATGTTGATCTGAACACTTACCACTCGACCAGATATTCCCATCAACTTCCCAACGCTTGTCTGTCCACTGCACCTTCGGAAAGTCCTTCTTCAGCTTTGGAAGCAGAGCACGTGGCCCAGAGGCAGTTTTCCCGTCATAAATACCGCTCGACGCGGCAACAAATGCACCTGTACAGATGACAAGGATGTCCGTCCTATGAGCGTCGAAGTGGCCTCGTAAAAAGTCCAGCACGTCCTTGTCATGGGTTGCATTTGGATCGGGCCCTGGCACCATTAGAACATCGAGGGTACCAGGGGCACAGTCTGATGAGTCCAGGGTGTGTGTCATCTTGATTCTGCAATCGGCTGTGCACGATATGAATGGATGGTGCTTTGCCGACGCAATATATAGACATTCCACGTCGAGACCGAGGTCCAATAGTGGTTTTGGAAGGTCGCAGGCCTGGAGATAGTCGCGACCCAGCATGCCAAATAGGTCAATTGGAGACATATCGAGGGTCTGGACAGGCCCCGAAAAAAGTACTCCGACGCGGAGCTTGCGATTTGACATTATGAATAGATAGTTAGATGAGTATTCGTATGATACTGAGGGCGATGAAGGAATGTTTGACACCCGCGGTAGCTGGCCTTTATATGACTTTAGATGGCCGAATCGTTTCGTCCATCTTTAAGTCAGCTCGGTACCAAAACACGACTATGTGCAGCACCCGCGTTACCTTCCTATTAATTTATATGGGTTGAGACTGGTATGGACTTTTTGTACTGCTGAAATACACGGCACGGGTCACAAAGTAATGCCGTTCCGTCCCGTGTCAAGGCCCGTCTCGCAGCATCGGCCATTACTCAGGTAGGACCCTGAGTATATATCAAGACATTGTTCATCTGATCTTCTTCTCCTTTGAAAGAATGTTCGTGTCGTAAACTTGCACACCAAACAATTTTGCAACGGCCCAACTATGTCCGCTAACAAAGAGTGGCCCGCCTCTCCAAAACGGTAGAATGTCATGCACGCCTTGCCTTCGCTTAACCACATCTTTCTCCCAGTCACCGCGTTGAAACTGCTCAACATCTTCACGAAAGACCTTGTGCGTGCTGGCATTTGCGGCCATGACCCAAAAGCCGATGATATGGCCCCTGTCGATCAGCGACGCAGCTAGATTTTCGATGCTACTCCGTGATTTGGCATCATGTTCCTGGAGGGCATACAACCTCAAGAGATCCGTACATGAATATTCGGCCTGATAGAGCTGCACATGCTCCAGCTGTGTGCGATGTTTCGGCGTAGGTATCGATGCGATGGAAATAGGTGATGTCCACGGAAATGGGGAGTACATGATACGTAGGGCCAAGCTCAAGAGACAAGAGATAGGAAAGTTTAGGCCGAGGGCAAGAGAGCCTCTGAGGCCTGAGCCTAAAGTTATGACGTATGGATTTGAGGGTGTAGCGAAATGTACCATATGGCGCTGAAAAGCTGACATGTTGATGCCTTTGGCTACCATGACGCTTGCCAGTTCAAATCTGTTCGTCGGTCGAATGATTGAATGATTGCTACGAGTGAAAAGGAATATATGATTATGACTATTGTCAAAATTCGACGGTGTTGTTCATCGTGACGTCTATGGACGGTTCGTCAACTTAGAATGAACTAAGCAATATGCGGTTAGGTAACTTTTTTCCTAAAATTGCGAGTCGAGCTCCCTCCTTCTCCTACAGATGATCGTCAATGCATCTTCAACACCGAACATAGTCTATCACAATATGTCGCTTACGACACGCATAAAGGAGAAGACCCAGAATGTCCAGTGGTAAGGTCACGGATATAGAGCCGGCGGGGCGGAATATGTTGCACCAACCGTTCTGCCGAGACATGACCTTCTGCTCTGGTAATTATGTGATCGGAAACAGGGTAAAATTAGATTGGTCTGTTTCAGTCATGAGATCAGAAGACTAGCATATTTCTTCCCTTGGGTTACCCCAGGATCCCCAGCTTTTTCACATCCGGTGGGGCTGAAGATCTTCAACGACGAACGTGGCGCGAACAGTACTAAGTCGTTAGCCTTGGAAATGTCATTAAGCTACTGTCCTGTCCTCCCTTATTCCACTTCACGTACCTTGGCATGTAACGTCAAGAAGCATGGATCGGCGCTTCTCATCGAATGACACAGCCCTCAAGACCTGCTATATGTTACCGATCTTTAGGGTGACAATATAAGGTAGACCACTACGTGCTCTTCTAAGCTGTTATCACACCCCTCTCACTATGTATCTCAGTCGAGTACTTCTTTCTTCTGCTCTCACATTTGCTGTGATCACACAGGCTCGTCCAGCAACGAATAACATTGCTCAAAGACTTGAATCAGCTCTGGCAAGTCTTTTCATTCCAAACATCGACAATGTAGCAGGAAACCTACATCTCCCAAAGACTCTTGATGGATTCAACGTCTCTTGGATAAGCAATAATCTATCTGTAATCTCACAAGACGGCCTCGTAACGAGGCCAACCGAGGACTCGCAAATCATTCTCCGCGCGCGAGTTGACCATGAAGGGGCTCATCGGGAGCGCGAGTATGTTGCTTCAGTCAAGAGAGCCGTGCAACTTGATTGTTTTACGGGCTATGCATTTGCATACTTCACCGGAAACTCCAAAGAAGGAGAGAACATCTTTTTCGCTGCGACCAACGGCAACAACGCCTTAGACTGGCGTGAGCTGAACAACGGCCAACCAGCGCTGACATCTTCGATGGGCACGAAAGGTTTGCGTGACCCCTTCATAATTCGGTCTGCCGAAGGAGATAAATTCTTCTTGCTCGCTACTGATTTGTCTATCGGTTCCGGAACATCTTGGTCCGATTCTGTCAAATTCGGTAGCCGATATCTCGAGGTATGGGAATCTAACGACTTGAAAACTTGGTCTGCACAACGCCATGTCTTGGTAAGCCCACCGGAGGCTGGTAACACCTGGGCTCCAGAAGCATTCTATGACAGCTCGATCGGGGAGTATGTCGTATACTGGGCCTCCTCTCTATACGCCGACGATGATCCAGACCGGATCGGAGCCACATATCATCGCATGCTCTACTCAACAACGCGCGACTTTGTAAAGTTTTCGGAAACATCAGTTTGGCAAGATGCAGGAAAGTCGCGCATCGATTCTACAGTAATCGAAGTCGGTGACGTGTACTATCGCTTCACTAAGGATGAGGGCGCGGCTGAGACGGGATGCACCGACATTATCCAGGAGAGATCGGATTCACTCCGGTCGGATCTATCGCAATGGACGCAAATCGCCTCGTGCATCGGCAAGAATGCTGGAACCAGCGCTGTTGAGGGGCCCACTTCTTTCAGATCAAATCCGGGTGATGTGAATGGAGACAAGTTCTATCTTTTTGTTGATGAATATGGAGACAGGGGATATATTCCTCTTGAGACTGCAGACGTCGCAAATCCACAGTGGAAAGTGTCATCATCGTACAAGTTGCCGTCAAGCCCACGACATGGAACGGTTATTGGAATAACTGCAGCAGAGCTTGAGTCTTTGACAAGCACCACCTAGCGATCTCCACGAACGGCAATAGAAGAACCGTGATCGATGAAGTGACGATCGGTCTAAAGAAAAGTTTGATGACTAACATTGTTTCCTGCTTGAATACCAAGTAGTGAAGATGATGATCTGTAGACTTTTCTAGCTTCAATAGTCGTCATCGTAATCATCATCGTCCAACTGGGTCAACTTGTATTCCGTGAAGACCAATTTCGTTGTTCTCATATCCGACCAAGCAGCTCCAGCTAGCAGGAAGCACAAGAGAAATAAGAGTATCGGCAGTACAAGGCAGGCAGTCTCCAGAGCACATTGTTTCTTCAATGATGGGAGATTATATGTGGCTAGGAATGATGTTTGATCTTTTGTCTCACACGCCCAAGTCCCCAGATCGAAAGTGTCAAGTTCATAGGCGAACATGATTTCGTGGGCCGTGACGACGTTCGATATATTTTGAGGATCGTGGACAAGCCTTCCCACTTCGTAGGTGTCCTGGTAAAAGTGTGCGCTCTTGCTATGTCGAACAAAGGTGTAGATTATGGCTGTCAACGCGCAGATGGCAACTATGCCGAGTAGGGTGATGATGATAATTTGTTCACATCTTACAAGCTAAGTTTGAGACCGTCAGTCACGAACTTGGAATTACCTGAAGGCACACACCTTTACGGGTTTGCGCCTTCGAAAAGTGAAGATTTCTGCGGTTGACGTGCACACAGCCATGACCAGGCTGAGACCTGCGACAGCGAAAAGCACCTTGTGGGTTGACAGTCCAATGTTATTGGGGTAGTCTGCTGGTAAGACTACCCAGTCCAGTGGATTTGACCTTGAGGGAGCCCCATCTACTCCTCCCGATCTGCCGTCATAGATCGCAAGAGATTGTGATTTGAACGCAATTATGAGGATGGCGCAAACGATGATCAAGAATGAGATAGCAGTGATAAGGAATCTGCGATGAATTATGCGTTGATAGACACCTTTGAACGCCATGGCTTTCAGGATTGCTTCAAAGAAAAACGGGATTTGTTTTATCAAGGATGAATGCTTAGGTTAAAGATGTCGGCCACAGTAATCTTAATATATGCCTGGGGCGGCGCGGACTATAGGGCATCTGATTTGTTTCTACGCGGAATAATATGGCACAGCAAGTGGAGCGACCTGCTAATCATAGCCAACATATAACCTTATTATTATTATCATGCAAGTTTTCGGCGCGTACGGACGGCGCGCTAAATTTATTTTGATCTGAAACGAACGGGATTCATATGTAGCACACTGAGCATAGCCACTCGAAGCTAAGCCCCTTTGGGATAAGAGCAGTTTCTCTTTTGACGAGTACAAAAAAGTCACAAGCAATCATCCGACGCTATATTCGGACGTCATTACGAGCTTTCTTTGTCTTGCACCTGGATACGACACCCAAACAGCATGGAGCAGCTGCTCAATAGCTCATCAAAGGTATAACGTGCTGTTTCTACCGTTGCTATCCATATCATATATAAACGAATATTCAAGTTGGTAGAATTCATAGGCTTCTTAGTTGGGAGTAGAAGTTGCACACTGACAGGGTTCTATGTAGACCTAATGGTGGATGCGATGGATGCTCTACCTGAAGTACGCGAGGCCAGTTGTGTAGAGCTGCTCAGTGGTCTGATAGAAGCTTTCGCTAGTGCCAACAGTCCAACATGTCTCCGATGTATTTCATCCATGCTATCAGAAGAGAAGCCTATTTTACCTTTACGACAACTACAAGCTCGTGGTCTTGGCACTACGGTAGCGGGGGCTCTGATATCTGGACACAGTCTAGAGATCTTGGAATTGTGTCTATCTCGAGTTTTGCCAATGGAGCTAGCTGTTGCCTGTTTATGTAGCCACGTATAATGCACGGAGTGAGAACTTGACAGTAGAGCCTCCGAAACACATGTCGATTATCATGAAGTTTCTCAAATTAGAAACCATTATCCGTAGTATCTAGTTGATGAGAAGATTCTGGTGTCGGACGACTACCTTTACGAAGGTTTATAAGTCAAGGAAGTTCAATGTGTAGAAACTTATCGACTTATGTATTGAAGTTCTTTTCCCATTTTCCAGTATACAACAAACAACTTTATACTGTGTCTCTTGGTCCTTCCATCATCTGCTATGATACATAAATGCCGCGATTCCAGTATCCATGGATCCCTCTACCGCTGAAATTCAATCCCCAGACACACTCATTAGTGTTCGGTAACTCGTTATAGCTACGGGGACCCAGATGTGAATCACCACAACGCTTTTTGGGCATCTGGGCTCTCATACTGGCCGTATACCATGTACACATAGATGGATATACTTCCAAGATGAGCAACATTACGATATGTTCCAATCTCAAATGGTAAAGAGTGAAAGTTTCTGGTTATTAGTACAAAGCTTTATAGCGAGCGAGAATCGTAATCCCATACCATGCCACCCTCAAATCCATCGAACACAAGCAACAAAAGAGACTCGATTGGTCTCAATTCAATGTATATTGTCCTTCACATTTCGCAACCCAACTTCATCCTTTGTATCTAGAGACCCATTCCAACGGCGAACCCATTCCTCCTCTAGGCCGGTCCGAGTTCTAGAACGATGTGGACCCTCCCGCCAGTTTTCTCATGATCCTCGGACATCAGATGGATGAGCTTGATGTTTTTATTACCTAGCTCAGTGCGATAGTCCTTTAGCATAAAATAAACTCGTGAGATATGGGTTTGGGCCGTCATAAGCTCTACGACTTTAAGCTCATTGGCGGTCCTAGGGTTGATCGGGTTCAGCGTCAATGTCTTTTTCACGTCGGCCCTCATTACTTCAAACGCTTCTTCGATTGCGTAGTAGGTGTTCAGCTGGACGCCCTTTGAGGTTGTAGAATCGGTTCCTTTACCCTCTAGGATGTTATCTCGAACGATCTTATTAAGATCCTCTGTTCTAGTTCCTTTGCTTTTGCATGCTTCTCGCCAATTGCTCATTGTCATGGATGACCATCTCAACTTCTTGCTTTGATCGTTCTCAATGTTATAGCTTTGCTTTATCACGAGAGCTCTTTGCTCAGGAGCAGCACATGTGTCTAGGATAGAGTCCCCTGTTGTAGGATCTTTGACCTCGTTCCTGACCCATGTTTGACCTTGGCCAGAGATCTTGAAATCGTCCAAATAGGAGTTTTTGCTGCCTTCCACTGGCCATGACTTTGGACCTGCGACTGCCGGCACTTCGTTATAGCCATAACTCTTAGGAGTTCCAAGAACGCTTAGGTCAATCAGCTAAGAGTGTTATAGTCGCGGACGAAGCCTACCCAGTATCACCACCCTCTTTGAATTGCTGTCTTACCTCTACACCTTTCAGCCTTTGGTCCTCCAAGTCTTTATTTGAGAAGGTTGGGGAGTTGTTTTCGACAATATCTTGCATTCTATCCCCAGGAGTCTCTCCTGGCCTCGAGCCAGGAAGAGGATCATTTTTCCCTGGCTTTTCGATTCTGCCAGGTCTGAATCCTCGCTCTTGAACATCTGACCATTGTTTACATGGATACTCGTGACTCAGTGAGGTCACTATCTTGGCGTCAATCCAGATATCTGTGGCAGTATTCGGGCAAGAGATAGAAACATACCATCACAGCTCGGCAGTGTCTCACATACCCTCAAGTCAGTCTTTGAACATACTGCATGAGAGCTAGAAAATGGAGAGCAAGCTAAGATCCCATACAGGATGATATTGACTTGGCTGAGACGCATTTTGGAGACTTCCGGTGTAAGGGGCTATAAAACTAGACTGATTAAATGTCGAAGTTTCAGAGCTCAAATCTGAGTATCAGTAGTCCTCTATATCAAGGGGCTATGAACATAAATTTATATATATGTTGAGTTTGTTGACAGGCAGTCCAGTCTGGGTCTATGCATTTCTTGATGCCAGTTCAGTGGCGCGGCTTTGTTGGTCCCGTCGAACATTTGTCCACTCAATGGCTCCGTGAGACCGTAGCTGTTGCTAAACTCTTCGTCGATCATGGAAAAAATCCTTACATGACTGACATGTGGATCTCGTTACAAGGAATACCGCTAGATAGAGTGCATGATTGTATCTACAATATGTGGTCGATTATTTATAGGAAAAGTTACGCTACGTGCCAGCATAATGAGACTTGGGATTAGCCTGAAACGACGCTATGAGCATAGAAGGATAAGAAAAGATTTTTGATGGTCTTGCATCCGTCATTCTGTGTTTGCCTGATGTTGTCAATCCATGCGGCACAGTGAAACGTTCTCGGCTAGATCATGCTCGATCTATTGTATGCGATGGATACCCTGTTCGCGCACGCCTCACAGCCTCAAATCCGCAAGTACCCAGATTGCATGCTATATACTGGCGGCGGATTGCAACATATTTTTAGTTGGGGGCAGGTTTGATAGTGAAATGCCTGAGCGAATAGTTGCATTGTTCAAACAAGTATATCGTACCTTACTCGGCCGAGGGTTTGGGCTGATTGGGCGATAGAATAGAACGCTTAATTAGTTGGGGTACAATATTGATCATACGAGAAGGAGGCAAAGCTGCATACTACGCTGCAAGCTATGTTATTCTGTTGGTTGGCTTTTGCTGCCTCCAACATCACAACCCACGCTAAAGGACCAGTGGAACACCGACGACAAAATGAATTTGGCGATTACGCGATTCTGTCTGCGTCACGCTGAATGTTACCAAGATAGTATGAAGTGAAGTGATGTGTCTCGTGCGCAGCAATTAAGTATATATAAGTTCGTCTGGCGCACATGTAGTTAGTTCCTGATCTTTGGAATAAGGTATTTTCGTAAAGTCTCAGATACTATAACTACTATATCGTGGTTCATATGCAGCTACAGAATATCGACATTGCTACCCAGACCGCTAGGTCGTAAATATTCGAAACGCCTTTCGACACTATGTCCGCTGCTTTGGGATTTGCATTGGACGCTGCTGGTACCATAGCTACGTTCGCTCTGCTTGCAGAGGGACTCACGCACCAGCAGAAGCCAAAAGTATCTTCCCAGGTCAAGATCGTCCTTGGTGACGGAACCGATCTCCGCGATGCAGGGGGCGCGGTACCTCATATCGCACTGTGGGATGAATGTAAGTCTGAATCGCGTGTCTGTAGACTCTGACTCTCCGAACTGACGTCTCTAGACGGTCATCGTATTGGGCAACATCACCCGGGAAAGAAGGAAAAGATCAAGCAGGGTCAGACCAACGTGGAACCTATCAACATAGAACACGCGCAAACTGAACCAAAATATGATGGAGTGGACCCGGGCTACATCCTCCTTTCCCAGTCATCTGATGACGCGATCTGTGTTGCTCAAATATCCGTTATGGGACCGACAACTAGTGCCAGCTTCGTCGGAGGTATGTCGTGAAATCCTACCTCTTCCATTCTACAAACGTTGCATTCACTTACACCCATTAAGATACCGGAAAGTGGTGTGGTCAAACCTGGTATCCCAGCAGCAAGCCCATCGGAGACTCTTGAACTAATCCTGCTTGTGTATGGCTCGATGCCAACCACAACAGCGGCATTAACGCACGCGCCCTCAGCTTCCATCTCCGTGACATGCAGGGTGATGAGAACAAAGCGGCTCAATACAATGAAGACAAAGACACTTTATGTAAGAGTACCCCTAGGTTCTCTTTCTGGGGCAACCTTCTCCCCAATGGTATCATACCTTTCTTTGATCCCCCCTTGGAATACGAAGACGGAAATGGCAGGGACGTAGATCGAAGCCGTGTCGTTGACAACCATCAGTTCAATAAGGGAGTTTACATGAGTCAAAGTGCAGGAAAGAGATCGCGCTCTACAAGGAGCAATGTCAAGCGCGCAAACCATGATCCTGCACACTTAGTTATCGCGAGTGAGGGACACAAAGCGAGTGCCCAAGAGGTTTGCGACTCGGCGACATCATACGGCTGGGATATCGTGTCTGTGGACGAAAGGCTGTTCTGTGATATTGAGCACAAGCAACTCTATCCTCTTTGTAGCTCAGATGTGTCGAGCAGTTGCTTCGACATGGACCAGAGAACATTACGTGGGCCTCTCGAGGCTAGAGGCGAGGAGGCTAGTTCTGAGAAGATGAGGTTTGGCCGATCGTATGACTCAATTGCTAATTGGACGATGACAGCTTCATGATGTCGTGGGATTTTGGACAGCTCGCAGGTCACATACAGTCTCATGTTCCAAATTATAGTTTGCGGTGCACTTTTTCTGGATGATGTAGCAATGCCCCATTCTGTCATTGATCGACGTATGCAACAGGCTCTAACACCTTTTTTTATCATTCCTATGTTCTAAAGATAAGTTCGCAATGCGCTAGTCTCTATAGGGTTAGACCTGTAGAATAACCAGGACAAAGGACATTCATCAGGCAATGTGGTACAGGCAAACTTTGTTAGGGACCACATTCATTTTTTCAAATTCTGTCAGCAATAAAGCTGCTGTAATCAGATGCCCTTTGTAGTTCAAGCTTAACATACCAATCCTAACGACTTTGCGTTTCTTTCTCATCACAAATTCACAATGCCTTCGCTATTTCTGCCTGACGAGGTGCTCATGCAAATCCTCGTCGAATCCGTGAGAATACGAACCATCAAGCGTGCGTTGAGATTACGGCTTGTGTCACGAAGATTCTCTCGCATGACTTGCGAGGCTATATTTGAGTCAGGCCTGATTGAGATGGGTGGCCTCCAGGGCCCTAGCTACTACACAGGCACACGGTACACACGTATACATTACTCTTACACATCCACAGACTTCCTTCAGCGGTACCTAGTCTACAAGTGCACAAGACTTCATGACAAATCTCCTCAATTCTTCTGGGCAATCCGCCAGGTTGTTGAGTATATCTGGAGATACCGACACCCAGACTCACCATTAGACCGGCAAAATATGGAACTCTTGCTCTCTCGAATTGCTTTTTTGTCTGTTCGGGGTCGTCATTTCGATCGGCACTTGAGATGCCTTGTGGAAGATGAGGAGCCGAGGGGCCCTATTCAGGACCCAAGCAAAGACATGAATTACATGCTTCTGAGTGCTGCTGCGTACATAGGCGATCCCGAGTTAGTCGAAAAGCTGCTCACCGAAGACGAGAAACGTCCTCGGTTAGAAAGGCTGTGTTATTCTAGCTCGGTTGATAAGTGAGTCAATTGCTCGAAGCCAAGGCTTCAGCTCACTAACGAGCTGTCTAGCTGCTTCGATTTCCTCACTCCCTACCAGGCAGCAGCTCACGCAGGCCATGTCAACATCATAAAAGCACTTGAGCCGAGAGTACGTGTAGGACGCAAATCATTCTCCATAGCCAGGTATGCTGCTGAGGCCGGGCACGCCCATATCATAGATCTCGCCTTCCCACCCAATGTTCCTCTTACAGGACCTTCCAGAATCGATACGTCCCAAGTTCTCCACGCCGCTTGTAAAGCACTCTCAAATCTCAGTTCTGAGAGGTTGTTCATCATATATCATCAAAAATGGACACGACTCCTGGCACGTCTCCGGTCTGGAGCGCATCGCATCAACAACTCTTGGGCATACGACGAGCTTGAGTTTAGAGCCTCCGCAGGCTCTTTAGGTATTCTAAGATACCTGTTAACGTTTGGCATCCAGTGCAACCCCTCAGAGCACTCATCTAAGACAATGTCCCTAGATTGGTGCCTCGTTAGAGAATACTCAGGGATTTTGGATCATACACATCTCTCAAGACTCGCCGTGCTAGCAGCTCAATCCGGCCATATCAACGTCGTGAGTCTCTTGCTAGACCTAGGTGCAGATGCAAACAAGGCGATCCCTGCCGCATGCGGGTCAGGTTCTATATCACTGGTGGGATTTCTTATCGATTCCTTTGACAAACCTCCCTGTAGAGAGTCTATGCAAGAAGGATTTCTGAGTGCAGTCGCATGTGAAGATCACGCTATGATCCACTACTTACTTGATCGTGGGCTGGAGCTTGACCATAAATCAAGAACTCTTGCTCTGGATATAGCCAAGAAAGAAGGCTTGGAATCAATGGTTCATTTAATTGAACAAATATAAGCACTTAACGGCAGATCAGGGGTACACAATTCAATTATTTTCCTACAGTGGTCCTCATCATACTGGAATATATTTACACTGAGGCTACAAAGCTTACAGTATCTCATCGCTATCTCTAGTGGCCGATCCATAGTCTCCTTGATTGGGCATCCTCACGATCGTATGCGTATGGAACTTCTGCGGCTCCTCGTTGTTCAGAAATACTCCGCTATGGTGGTCGAACTCGAAAATAACGACTGGACTTTGTAACCTAAAATAATACGCGTCCTCGTCTCCATATCCACCAATCCACGAGAAGTACGTATCGTCGAAATGCTTTTTCATCAACTCTTTCTTCGCCTTCCGTGACTCATCCGGATGATACAAGAGAAACTGCTCTGCAATATCTAGCACGATGCTCTGCTGCTCGGGTGATAGGGTAGAGACCTTTACCCCCTCGTACGGCACGACCCTGTTGTCTCTGAATGCACCACACAGATGCCTCTGGTCATCTTTATTCCAACGATCCGAGCATAAATCTCCCGTCATCTTCATCATCGGATCCTTGAGCAACTTGTACGTTTGGGCCTTGGTCTGCTGCGCGGAGCTTAGACTCTGCATGAGCTCTAGCCCCAAATCTCCCTCTGTATGCAGGATTGCAGTGCCTTTCCACGGACCCTCGTCGATTATATTCGGCTCTGCGCCTGTGAATGTCGGCGCAATGAAGATTTGTCTTCTTTTAAGGTACACCGAGAGACACAGATGGTGACCGTATAGCAGAAACCCCCAGCCCTTCGTTGTGGAAGGTGTACCGAAGAGCAGGAAATTATATGAGTACTGATTCATGATCTTAGGCAATTGAACGAGCTCTCCAAGGAAATGGTTGATTCGCATGGCCGCTAAAGCTTTCTGGTAGCCGGCAGGCGAGAGGGTTGTCTCAAGGATTGCGAGAATGGATGTGGTAGCAGGTTCGGACAGCTCTTCCATGCGTAGGCCAAAGGGTCGCAGAAGCATCTCGGGGTTAGACCAGGCGCGCCATTCGCGGGCATTGATGGGGTAAGAGAGGCGGGCTTTTTCGTCAGGGGTGAGTTTAGATAAGAGACTGTTTGTTGCTGCTACGATAGCCTCGATAGGAACGTTTTCGTCGGCTATAGAGTATAGATCCGGTACTACTTGACCTGTGGCCGAGTTAAACTCAGTGATTACGATGAATTCAGATGTTCATACCATCGCTTGTGATCCCCTTGTATGGTTCTTCATACAATCTTTGCCAAGCCTGGGTTAGCTTGTAGAGCCACGGTGGATTCTGCTTCGATATAAAGGCCTCTGCATAGGAATCTGCATCCTGTTCTTTGGCAATTTGAAACCTTGGATTAGTCAAATCTGGGAGATGCTGCCTGAAGCCTGCGGATGTAGAATGAAAGGCGCCATTCGTAGCCATCACCACAACCGGACAACGATTTCGAGCTACGTCAGAAAGATACAACAACAATGATAAGATGCAGGTTGGATTGAGAGATACTCTGAACAGAATGCAATTGCCTGTACTCAAGCGTGATGCTATTGTCTTCGCGTACTTGCCATATAATTTCAAGCATGTTCGGCTGACCCGAGACGTCCCCACACTGTGGCGCATGGAGGTGCCACAAACTCTCCACAGAGCTTGTGGGGCCCCTCGGACATTCCACGTGTAGATATGGGAACGGTCGAGCGGCAATTGAGACTGCTTCTCCGGGGGTTTCTGCTCCGACAACATTTCATTCTCGCTCGTACTGTGTTATTCAGTCTTTGCAACTATCTCATTCTATATAGATACTCGAATCAGATACCTCTCATTGTCGGCACTCATCATATTATAATGGCGGACACATCTCCCAAAGGCCCGTTCAAGCTTGTAACAGTCAACACAGCACCGGAGCGTGCGAAGCGATTGATTGGCCGCATGGTCGAAGCATTGAAAGATAAATACACAATCATTCACGCTGCAAACTGCGAAAGTAAACTTCCCTCTCCTACAGAACATTTCTCTTTCCATCTTTCACATCTACACGTAGGTACTGACCCATCGCAACAGCAATCGAACAAGTCGCACCCACAGTCACAGAATTGCAACCAGACGTCCTTTTCTGCGCATCCATGTGGACGACAGAAGAAGCAACAAAGATCCAAGAAACAGCCAAGAGACTCAGGCCTGGCATAAAAACGTACGCAATTCCACATGGGCTGCAGGTTGAGCGGGGGCCGGATGCCATCGTCGAGCACTTATTGCAGAAAGTTCCTGGACTGTTGGATAGTATAGAGCAGTGAGATTTATGCTAAGTGTAACGACGACCGAAACATCAAGCTAGCTAGAGGCATCCTGAAAAGTCTTGTATCTAGTATGGAATGCTTCAAAATCGCGTGCATAGCCATCCTCCCTACTTACAAGTCTCAATTGCCAGCGCTGTATAATTGTCCAAATCGTCCTTCGGCAGTCCCAGTACATCGTTCTGTAGCGCATACCTATCCTCCATGACCCTAAAGCCTCCCTCAATTATCACACTCGAATACAACCACCTCAGCTGCCTCATCCTATCTACTTTCGCAGGATCTTCCAAACCCCTTGCAGTCCTCTCCTTCGCATCTTCATACTCTACCATCCATTCCCCTTCCCCCACTCTAGTAACCCTTAAACCATCTCCCTCCGCGTAACCGCAAGCGACATCACACACACTCTCGATCCCCTTCTTCCCTATCCTCTCGACCCGAGACTCCACCACCACCACCGCCCTCGCCATCCCCATACCCACATACTCCCAGGTACTCCCACGTACTCCCACGTACTCCCACGTACTCCCACCTACCCCCCCTAATCCTGAAAAGATCCGACTCTTATCCCAAAATCCGATAAGCAAAATCAAGCCTCGAACCAACCCATCGAGCCCGCACGCAAGACTTCATACCAGGAACTCCCCACGCAGCTCGATCCAGCTTCTCAACGCCCAAGTTCTCGATCATCTGCGCACGGGCAGCAAGTCTTCATCGGCACTCAGTGCCGCAAAGCACCTATCTTACGCTGCAGCATCAGTAGTCCAGCACGGGCTAGTATTTCGTATTTTCGTTGGGGAAGATGAAGGGTATGTGGGCGGCGACGGTGATGATGAGCGCAGATTGGATGGAGGCGGTGGCGGAGGGGAGGGAGGAGGGTGGTGATGAGGGCATGCTGGCTGGTGAGGGAGGTGTGGTTGGCGTAGTTGACCTCACGAATTTGGACGCGGGAGGGATGGTTTTGGTATTTGGGGCTCCGCGTGCGGGTCAGGGTGGTGACGGTGTATTTGTTTGTTATCAGGAAGGTTGTAACGAAGTGACGGCCGAGTCGACCGGTGGCCCGGAAAAGCGGTAGATGTGCGCGCGAGACGTATTGGGAGGAAGAAAGGGTGCGTCCGCCGATAGGGGCGTTGTTCTGAAGGTGTTTTTCGGACATCTTATGCTGGAGGTCAGGGTTGGCGGAAATGCTTGTTGGCTTACATGAGTCGTGGATGTGCGATTTTGGTATATGCCTTCTGATGAACGAGATGACTTGGATACGTGGGCTGTGCTTGTGGTGATACGGTTGGTTATATACATGTTGTATTGACCTACTCCTTTGCCGGTGCCGGCATGCATCGTTGTTGTACCAACAATGCAGCCCCAGGAGTTGGATCAAAATGAGCTTTGTATTCTTTGAGTACTACACCTAAATACCTCAATGATGTCGGTGGCTCCGTAGTCCGATGCTGATGATTTCTATACTCATGTCAAGTCCGTGGAACTCAGGTATGACTTGATGAGGTCCATACTCTGACTCATGCTACCAACTCGCGAATTCTCATAAGCAAGAGATTGTCACCAGATGTTAGACACACTTATGTAGAGTAGACGTAAAGCACGTGGTGTCTTCAGAAACATGCTCAGGAGTCGTCGTAGTATGCATCGTAAGCTCCACGCTCCTTTTGTGTAGAACACCACTCCTCACTGGCCAATCCCTTCTCCTTTCTCTTCCGCAAGGCTTCTTTGTCCTTGCAGTAATCACATGCCCACTCGCACACTGGCTTATCTCCGTCTCCAAAATACGCGACTATAATCGCGTGTCTACAGCTTCCCACGTTCTCGCAATAGCTGACCAGCGCCTGCATGCTGCGAGCTCGTTGCATCACATTTTGCTGTCCAGCATAATTCTTTCTCGCACCTGGAGCATTCTCCTTCCGTAGTGCATCTCTTGCCATCATGGTAGCTGCGCGATCTCGATCCTCACGTCCGTAATACATGATACATACGGAGGCTTTGCCATCACGGCCAGCGCGTCCAGCTTCCTGGTAGAAGCCCTCGAAACTCTTAGGGATTTGCCAATGTACCACGAAGCGTACATTCTCCTTATCGATGCCCATACCAAATGCCGTTGTTGCGACTATTACGTCATAGCCCTCCTTGTTGGCAACCCAATTCGTAAGCGTCTCTGCTCGTTCAGCGTGAGGGAGGCCGGCATGATAGGCCTTGGCACCGATGCCATCACCACGAAGCCGTTCGGCAAGAATTTCACAATCGCGTCTGAATAATGTATAGATGATGCCAGGGATGTTGTCAGTTCGAATATTCTGTGTCGAGAGCTCCTCTGCACGCTCTGCCTTCTTACGGCGCTCGTGGGCCGCACGGAGCCAATCTAAGAAGTTCGGGTAGTGGTCTTCTTCATCATTCTTGTACCGCACCTCATAGTGTAGGTTCGGTCGTGAACTGGACATATTGAACGTCTTAAGTGTTCGTGGATTGAGCTTAAGGGTCTCGATGACATCGTCTCGAACCGTTGATGTCGCAGTCGCAGTGCAACAAATGATGGGAACATCTGGAAATTCCTCTTTGAAGAACGAGAGTGACTGAAAGCTTGGTCGGAAATCATGACCCCATTCGCTAATGCAATGAGCTTCATCGATGGCGATGCGTGCGAGTTCCTGTTGAGTATAGATCACGCGAAGAATACGACGAAAGTGATCCATCTGGCAGTACTCCGGTGTCACGTAAAGGAGTCGAGTGAGTGGATGACCGCATTGGAGGTCCTCTAGAATGGCTTTCTTGGAAGCAGAAGACGTTGTACTGTTGATCGTTGCGACCTGGATATTTGCCGCACGCATAGAAGCGACTTGATTGTTCTATGCTCATGGGTGAGCCCAGGAACAAAGCATTATTGGCGATATTGAACTCACCATCAGAGCCAGTAATGGCGATATCACGATAGTCACTAGCAGGTAATGTTAGCAGATTAGCACACCACCTAGGAATGAAGGTGTAGCATACAGCCGTAGTCGACGACAGCCGGTAATTGAAAGCACAAGCTCTTTCCAAATGAAGTTGCTGCCTGTAAGAAGACATCTTCGCCATCGAGCGCGGCCTGTATGACCTCGCGCTGGAATGGCCTATTGCATGGTATCAGTGTGGTCTAAAGCAGAAAACTGAATGTATCTTACCTAAACGTGTCTTTTCCAAATACGCGCCTCAATGTGAAGTCGATATCGACTCTTCTGATCCTCTTGTGCGGGGGCATTGTTATTGCGCGTGAAGATGTGAGCTAAGTTAATTACGCGTGTCAAGGCGGAACCCAAGAGTCCAAGACACAGCAAAACGATAGGGCAGGAGCTTGCGTCTCACAGTCCATCATTACATCAATAGATTCGACGTGTATGGATACCTAGGTGGTTACAAATCGTGGGTTCTGCATTGATCAGGAACGTGTCCGCAAAAAAAGTGAGGAAGTTCCTCTTGTTATACAGACGCGCACGGCGCGCGCCCCACGGCTGCACGTGGCAGGCAGCGCCAGGCAGCGAGGCATGTCAAAATCATATTTGATATTCTATGAAGATCAATGATACATTTATCCGTTTACGATCAGTCCCAACGCCATGTTTTAATATCATTGCTCATGAAGTGTTCTGGCCCGAAGGTCGGAGTTGCTGGAAGAGCCCCCGATACAGAGTGGTCTCTCTTGAGTCGCAGAACATCGGATACAAGATACAGGCTACCGGTAATGATCATGTTACCTTCCTGGGAAATTTGTGCTGCTTTATGGATTGCTGCGTGAACGTCTTGGCTTCCATCGATGAGTTGCGACAGAGACGCAACCTGACCAGCTACCTCGCAAAGTTCTTTCGGTTCCATGGCCTTGACCCAGGGCATACCGTCGACTGCACCGAACTTAACTGCCACCAGAGAATCACCATCTCTCAGCAGATGTTTTAATATCTCTCGAGAATTTTTGCCCTGAGACATGCTCACCAGCCATGTAACAGGTCGGTCTTCCGGAACATATTGCTTCAGTACGAGCGCAGAGTCGACATTGTGGGCTCCATCAATCAAAACAGGGTTCTCTCGCTCAGTCAGATTTTGAATTGAGATATTTTGCGTTCGGCCAGGCCAGTGATCGGGAGGAATTGTTCCGAGGATGGATGGCGATGGCGGCTGCTGCTGTATACTTTGATATGCTGTGACGAGAGCCTGATAAGCGAGACCAAGGTTTGTGCTTTGATATTGAAGGTATTTTCTCTCTTTAAACGATTTCCAGTGCTGATCATTGGATTCGAAGTGAGGAAGAGATTTGCGTACAATCAAGGGCGCCTCTAGGATCATTGCCTGCTTTCGAATTACATCTAGCACTGTTGGAGTATTATTACCATCTACGATGCAAGGAACACCCCTTTTGATTATCCCAGCTTTCTGGAAGGCGATCTCTTCCACAGTGTTGCCGAGAAAGTTTTGGTGATCTAGGCTTATTTTGGAGATTATAGTTACGGACGGCTTCGTGATGATATTAGTAGCATCAAGTAGACCTCCCATGCCTACTTCAACGACAGCGAAATCCAGATTCTCACTATTAAAGATACGGAATGCAGTAGCGGTCAGTAGTTCGAACTCAGAAGCCTTGATGCTATGCTCCTGGTCAAGACGGCGTAGATCAGCCTCGACCTGTTGGAAGAGTTTTTTGGTTACGGGTGTCTCGCTGATGTTAATGCAGTCCCATCTGAATGACGAGATGAGACGTATACGATGATACAGTGGAGCTCTATTTACCTGTCAATCAGGTGAGGTGAGGTAAAACGACCACATCGGACCCCAGAGGCATGCAGCATGGCCGAGAGGGCCGCGCAGATGGAACCTTTGCCATTGGTGCCGGCGACGTGGATGGCCTTCCAGGTAAGAGGAGTGTTGGCCAAGAGACGATGGATACGCTCAAGACCTGGTTGTATCATTTGACAGATGTCGAGAGATAGTGAGAAAGAGAACAAAGATGGAGATGGAGAGGCGCAAAAGTCTGTCCACCGATCAGACGTGGACGGATAACATTAGGAGATTAGGCCGTAAGGCGACAAGGCAAAAAAAGGGTAACAAGGCGAAAAGGTAACAAGTAACAAGGCAGATAATTCCCAAAACACGCCAAAACGTGTAGCCCGTGCGCCTACGAAGAGTCCGTGAGGAGGCAACAAGCCCGCCCAATCAATCCGCCCAAATCTCCGCTTCCCGCTCCACTCTCCTCTCCTCTCCTCTCGCTCTCACCCAGCCCTCCCTCTCCAAAACCTCACATTCCTCCAAGCAAGGCTAGTCGCATACATCGGCGCATCCGCCTGAAAAGCATCTCGAAAACACCACGCGCATTCACTACACCAACCACTCCACTCTCATCTCTCCTCTTAAATCATCTTCTGTTATTCATCCTCACTCGTCAAGTTCTAGTTCGTATCTCGCGCCCAACAATGGGTCTTCCGTAAGTCTTCACCTCCTAGACTGGCAACTCTTTATGCGCGCCTGCACTACATACAATACTATTGCGCCATTCCTCACTCACAAGCCTCCTTCATGTTTGTTCGCGTGTTAATATTACTTTACAGTATCTGGTACGCCCCTACGCCATCTGCCGCCAACAATGCCACGAAAGACTACGAACCTCTCAGCGCGGCGGCGCATGCACGCTCCGCGATTCGGAGGCACCAGCATCGTTCACCTCAATCTCGTCGCGTAGCAGCGCTCACACGCATAGGCGAACGCATGAATGAGCAGACCACAGCAAGTGAGGCCAGGAGAGCGACAGAAATAACACGCGACGCGAACGACGATGACAGGAGGCGAGACGGTATGATATTTGGTGGCGAAAGCAGTCATCCATTTCCACTGTCGGCATTTCCTGCTCCTGAACTCGAGCCTGAACCCCGTAATCGCAACTCCAGGCGCGAACATGTAGCGCGCAGCAGAAGCCGCAGTCCAGACCGTCCACGACACTTTAATCACGATGACATCCATCGGCAGGAACATCAAGACCCACGTTCTGTTAGGACTCGTACAATTACCAGACTAAGGGGTGTGGAACGTCTACTCCCAACTGCCACTGATCAGCTGCGAGACCAGTTCACGTTTGACTTTGCTCCGGCGCACCCTCGTTCTCTTTCGAGACCTTCGTACACGTCAGACTCCGAATCACCCATTGACCCTGAGCTTCGTCGACGAAGGAATCGTGTTAGGTCGTCTGATGCATCTTTTCGTCGACGCGGCAATAACACGGACGGTCTCGGCGATCGATTGCGTAGCCTTACACCGGATCTGGACTGGGATCCTATGTTAAGTACAATTCAGCCCGATCAACAGCTTCCCAGCGCCGATTCATCTTTTACAACTGCAGCCGCCTCGGCTTCGTTCTCAAACACCCAGGCTAGTTCGCGTTCTGGCAGCGCAAACTCCCAAACATCGTCCTCTAGGACACACTTGACAGTCCCGACACCGCGCAACGAGCTGGATTCCTTGCTCAACGAATGCCTGAGTTCTGACGGGCCGAGCGGATCAGATTCGGAAGCATCTGTATTCCCAACGCACTCTGGACCTCCAATGCCATTACTAGAGATTGAGAACACCCACAGTTCTCGAATGCGACGTCATGAAGAGAGATACTCCAACAGAGCGATGAGTAATGAGAATTCGGAGGATTGGGTCTCGCGACGAGCCCAATCTCACGGACTGGGGAATGCTGGCATTATTACCTATCACACGGATCCACGACGAACTCTCAGGGCTATGAGACTAGTCAGGGGGGATCGTGCACTTCCCAATACTGTTCATGGCACTCGATCCCCACAAGCAGAGGGCGGTAGCAGTGACCAGGACGCAGATACAGCGGCAGCCGCAGCGCATTTACGGGACCCTGAGCTGGAGCAGATGCGCCCGATCCTAGGAAGACTGGCCCGTCGAGATGATATCCCAGATGAGTACTGGTTGTCTGTAGGCCTTACGCCAGTCATGGCAGAGAGGGTTAATCGGACTGAACGTGGTAACAACCGGCCGGACGTATAGGTGTCCAGACTGCTGGAAACTTCAGCTGACATGGCTGGTGGCTTCATGAGCATATGATCTTTGGGGTGGTTTGTTTTGTTGCAACTTTTTCCTTTGTGGGCCTTTCTGTGCCACGGTATTGCATCGGTTATTGGAGTTATCCATGAGACGGATCTCATGCAGAGTTGGAAACATCAAAAGTCACGGACTCGGACTAAATGCGTATTCTGAGATTTTAAGTAGATGTGTGTTATTAAAGCGGCAGGAAATGGACACTCAATTGATGCGGTTGTTGGGCCAATACAATGAATTATAAGCCCGTCAGAACATGAAGCGTACCTAGGTTTGTGCTAGCAGCAAGCCAAGCCACAGCAATCTCCACCAAAAAAGGATGAAAAACCTGCGGGGCATAGCACGCCCGCGCCACCGCCTGAGCCGGGCACAACAAGCACACGGGCATCTCATGACGCGCTTAGCTTAGATGACGTCGCCATTGCCTAGACTACTACCTTGACTACCTAGGTCAGCTACAAAAGCTTTGCAGCTGCCGCTCTCCTGCTTTGTACTCATCTCTACCTACCATCCATCTCCTCATCTCCATCTAAATACCATCAATCAAACATTTCCATCTCCCAATCCCCCACACAATCACAATGGCTACTCTTCACTGTAAGTAAATACTAAATCCTGCTGCCAGCCCATCTACCATCCCACCTCCCAACCTGTCGCCGACCTTTCAAACAAGAATTGATCACTGACGGAGCTTTTATCCAGACCTCCCCCCGGTCAAGCCCTCGGCCATCGCCCTGGGTACTGCCTTCAACCACGCCGTGTCCCTCGCGGTCCTCGGTCCCATCTTCGGTGAGACCTACCGCCGCGCTCAAGCAGCCAACTCCAAGGAGGAGTTCTTCAAATCAAAGGAGGCTGCCACTGCCGCTGCCACCTGGGGAAGCTCCATCGCCGGCTCAGCTGTTCAGGCGTATGGCGTGGGTGCTTTGATCAACGCGACTGGTACTCTTAGTTACAAGGGCGCTGCGTACCTCGGCAGCTTGATCTTCTTTGCCTCTTCTGCACCAACGGTGAGTTGAATGATGAATAAGTGTCGTATAATATGACTAATTCAGTATAGCTTCTTGCTCAAGTTCTCACTGAGAAGCGCCCTCTCGATACCGTTGTCGTAGGCGCTGTCTCCAAGGTCCTCGAGACTGTAGGCCTGAGCTTGTTCCTCACCTACTGGGGTGTAAGTTGACATGGAAGAATCATAACATGTGAAGAATCTGACGCGCCGTTAGACCCGTACCAACCCCTTCAACTAAATACCTCCTCTAAGCCTGCTCTCACTCGGCGCTAAAATGGAACGACGATATGTGGTAAAAACTAGCCCAGATATGACGCCACTAGTATGGCAAGTAACTGAACGAAAGTAGAAGTCTTTCGTCTGTAGTAATACAAGAAGTAAATAATATCGAAACCATTCTACGACTTTCGTGCGATGCTGCCCATTGTGACGACATGTGAAGAACGCTGCCTGCCCGCGGGAAGTTTTAGATGCTGACAATCTAGTCTTAAGATCTGCGACTGCATATCCTGTTCCTGTGCCCTTATCAATTACGCTCTCTATTTACTTCAAGTAAGCAGTTTGAGGCGGTTGGGGCAGGACTCGTTTGGCGCGGGCGGTTCGCAGTTGATCGACAAAGATAGGCTATCTTTATCGCACCCCTCAATTACACACCAACTCCTGGCCGTAGCAGATAAGACATACATGGTTTCAGCTATGCAATAGCTTTCTCATCGATCTCGAACGCGGACATAATATTATGACTTGTGAACTGCCCGGTCTACGTCACCAACGGATTCCCCTGCTATATTTCCTCTTATGGGCAAGTGTAAGCAGCACCTGAACCCCCCGCGAAACCCCGGAGTGATGTACGACTTGCTACCCCGGCCGATTCTCCACAATTCGCATGCAACATGCCCTAAATCGCGAACTCTGTGCTGGAACTCCCACTCTCAGTGCGCGACATGCGTCCGGGGCGCCGCTTGACATATATCAGGCGGGGACCCCTAAGGAGAGAGGGACCCTTTTCCTCTTCAACTAACCTAGCCTGTCCTGTCCTGCTTCTCTGTCCAGACACAAACTGTATACATTCATCCAGCAACCACACGAGAGACAGAGACAGAGACATAGAAAGAGAGAGGGAGACAGAGCCATGGATGACCAAGTAACCCGCCTCGTAGAAAAGACCTGGGGTATGTCCCCCGTCTCTCCTTCCATCACGACACCACTCTAACACACATCCCTATAGCAAAATACCAAACTCTTCCCAAATCCCGCCGCCTCATGATCGCCATCTCCGGCATCCCAGGCTCAGGTACCACCCACCACCACCACCACCACCACCACCACCACAATCACCACAACCACCACCCACACCTCCCCTCACAAACTCTAACCCTCCCACCCCAACCCACAGGCAAAACCACCCTCGCAACAACCGTCGCCAGCGCCCTCAACGCAAAGCACGCCCTCTCCTCCCCCGGCACTGCCGCAACCACCCGCGTCGCCGCCGCCATCCCCATGGACGGCTACCACCTCTCGCGCGCCCAACTCTCCGCCCTGCCAGACCCCGCAACCGCACACGCCCGCCGCGGCGCCGCATTCACATTCGACGGCGCCAGTTTCCTCGCGCTAGTGCAGCAGCTGCGCGAGCCCCTGGCGCCGGAAAGCCGCACGCTGTACGCGCCCTCGTTTGACCATGCGCGCAAGGATCCCGTGCCGGATGATATTGCGATTAGTCCGCAGACGCGCATCGTGGTGTTTGAGGGGAACTATCTGAGTCTGGATCGGCGGCCCTGGAGTGAGGCGGCGGGGCTGATGGATGAGTTGTGGTTTGTCGAGGTTGGGTTTGGGGTTGCGTGGGAGAGGCTGGTGCCGAGGCATGTGCGGGCTGGGATTGCGAGGGATGAGGAGGAGGCTGGGAGGAGGGTGGATGAGAATGATTTGGTGAATGGGAGGGAGATTGTTGAGGGGCGGTTGCCGGTTGATGAGGTTGTTGTGAGTCGCGATGATTTGGGTTGGAGGCCGGATGCTTTGGCTCTGGCTCAGCAGACGTAAGGCCATAAAGGAGGTTGTGCCTTGAATGAAAGCGAGCGTTTATAGCACACCCATCGTGAATCGGAGATTCTGGATACCTATTCTTCCTGTAGCACGCCGTCTTGACTGCTTTGGGCAGTAATAGCGAAAAGCCAACTCCATCTGGGGCAGTATATGAGAACTGGTATAACCCTGCAGCAATGCTTTAATTTATATAAGCCGTTATATCGTCTAAACTGGTACATACGCTTAGCGCACACCTGGAATCGCTCCTTTTGCTTCATTTGCGCCTAATTCCTCTTCTTTCCATGAATCTGCGCCGACCTTTCTGCCTCCCTCGGCTCTCTTTACTCGACACCACAATCCCACCTCCTTATCCCAAACAAATTGCCACAACACGTACACCCAACTCTTGTGATACGGCAGATCGTTGTAGAACTCTCCGGCGATCTTCCTAAGGACCGGAAGACGAGTCCACGGGATGGCGGGAAAATCATGATGCTCATTGTGCAGACCCACATTGTAGGTCAGCAGATTGAGTGGTCCGTAGTATGAGTAGGTTTCAGGCACTGGTACCATAGTCGAGGGATCCTTCGCTCCAGGAGCTTGTCTTCCGAAGACATAATGCTCCGCGATGAAGTGTCCGGCACAAGGATGTAACGACCCAGCCAAAAACGAACTCATAATCAAGTATGCCAACGCACGACCACCGGCAAATTGAATGAGGGCGAAATCAAAGGCGAGCTGTATGGCAACGTTGAAGAGGTGTATTTTCGTGATGGGCAACTTGTACACCATCATGGGTCGGATGGCGTAGAAAAGGATCTGGAAGGTACAGAAGAAGGCCTTGCCAAAGACGGAGTCGAGAAAAAAAGCCTCAAGGGCGGTAGGCAAGTCTGTATCAAGACCTTCTACCCCTAAGGACTTATGGTGCGTGAGATGGTATGGCTAAATAGACGTTAACTTGATATACATTTGGCTCTTTAAGAAGACTTACTCGGAACGAGGCACTATAGGGGATGCCAATAGGTAGGTTTGCAAATACTGCGAAGGTTCTATTCGCCAACGGAGAGCGGAATGCCAAGTTATGCGATATTTCATGAATGGCGAGAAACAAGTTTTGGTTTGCGGTCGCGCCGATAATGTAGGCTGTGAGGAGGAACGGCCATGATATAATGGCAACATCTCTTAAGAGATATGCGCAGAGGATTTGTAGAGCGACGACTCCGGTAACAACATATTTCGTAAGAGGTTCAGGGCCACACAGTTTTGTCACCTAGGACAAATGTCAGTTACATCGTCGTTAAGATCCGAACAAATCGCACCTCGGGATGAGCCTTTATAATAGCTTGGCGTCGTGTTCGGTGTGGTTCTTCTGTGTAAGTCCAGAAGAAGTGGTCGTACTCCGTCTTCCTCTCTGAAACGGCAGCAGTCTTTGATATACCACTCTGCTTAGGGAGAGAGCGTTTGCCGGTTTCTACCACTACCGCGGGAACAGATGAGCGCATAGCAAGTCAATTGCCTGTTGACTGAAAAGGAAGAATACTTGTTGTTCGAGGAGTGATAAATCGAATGCCCAACTGTGTCCGGAGAGGAGTGAAAGTTGGGAAATATGGAAGCTGCAACAATTTCAAGATGTGATTCGCGGAAAGGGTCGCAGCTGGTGGCGTTAGAATCCGGATCCGGATTGGCGTTCCACCAGGCGGGTACTGGCTGCACGGTGGCACCAATCTTATCGATCTTGGCGTTTTCCATTTTCACGCATACGTTCACGTCCGCTAATCTAAGGTTTATATAAGAGCCCAAAGGAACCATATAAAGATACTGTATTATTGTATAATGTTTTATCTAGCGCCCGCTAGCGCCCTCACCAGAATCACCGCCGGAGAATCACATTTCGCGATGATCCACGCCCTTATTCGGAAATCCGATATATCAAAATCGAGCTCTCTCCACGACATGTAATTCCGTCTACTCTTCATGACCTATAGCCTCGTATTGCCTTAGTGCCTTAATCCCCCTAGGCTGCCTTAGAGCTTAATCCCATAGACTGCTCGCAATCTGCCGGCCGCAGGCCACCCTAGTCTATTATATCTTTGTTTAAATTTCTTATATGCTTAGTCTTAGGTATAACGGCAGAAAAGGCTCCATCCAGAAAGATAGAGGTAAGAACACGCGTGCACGTGTGCTAAGAGAGTCAGGTTCTAGGCAAACAACGAATATAGTTTTTAAGCTCTAAACTCCTTACTTTAGTCTATAAGAAGACATCTTGAACCTTGAAAGAAGAGGAGATTTTCCTGAATACCAAGGATACGGTATTTCCACGGGCCATCCTCTAGAGATTCATAAAACTATCTCTATCAATCAAGATTAAGTCCCCGGCCAAAGCACGCGTATGATCTAGACTTAACTGGACTCCATTACTTGACAGGAAAGCAAGCAAACCGAAGAATGCTAATTTATTATTAGTAAGTGAAGATAACCAAACACATGACCTTACCATGGTTCACTGTACGCCTGATTTTGTGTCCCGTAGATCCGTATGTTACAGTCTGAATCCATGACCAGTCTGCCTTGTCCCATGCTGCAGATTCTCCAACTATATGCAATTGTTAGTAGACTATTCGTGAGCGGAAACCAGAACTCACTCTGTATTTCTATTAAGTGTTTTAACAATAGCAGACTAACCATTGATGCTAGAGGTATAGCCCTAGGATCAGGCGCATATTGAGGAAGTCTGGAGAAGTCCGCAACAGAATCAGGCGCAGGTTGAGAAATACTGAGGACGATGCGTTGTGCTATTCGCGAGTGTCTGAGAGATTTCAATGATTTGACTACACCACTCCGAATATACAAATCGCACAACGCTATATCGGCAGGCTGGTGTGGCGAAACTAGCCTAACATACGATTGTGTTGCGGATCCCGGGTCACGACAACGAGGAACACCATCTAGCCAGAGCAGTGGCTGACGATGACGATCGAACCCTTGCGCGAGGTCGTAATAGACATGCCGCTGGTCTGGACTTGCCGAGGCGGCTGCTCTTCTCCAGCGGGCATCATTGTCGCAATAGACGCGCACGCTACTACTTCCTAGGTCCCTGTTGTATCTCAGATTCGCGACTGATACCATAATTTCGCGCACTTTGTCTAGATAATGGCTCGTTTGCGGGTCGTTCGATCGAGAGTCGATACCGAATGTATACTGTAGAATATGGCCCAAATCATCAGCCGCTCTATCACGCCCCGGCCCCTGTCCCAATGGATGGCCACTGAAATAGCTTGTCATCATATCTAGACTACGGACAGCCTGCCGTGCCATTGCAACTGCTTCTATGACAGCTATGTCAACGCCCAAACCTATACATGATGAATCGATATAATAGCCTCCTAGAGTAGAGGGTGGAGGGTCGGAAGTAAGGCATAGTTCAAAAAACATAGAAAATAAGATGGCGATGAATATAAGAGGACCCATTGTACTAGGAGTAGATGAGAGTGTAGATGGAAGGCATTTGTGATTATTCCTGGACCTATATAACATAGAGGCCGTACTATATACTATCATGTGAAAGTAATTAGCGCAGCAACATCTTCCCCTTTCCATGAGTATTTACCTATGAGCCATATTAGAGACTAGATAGCATTTTAAGTGATCATTATCATATCCACATCAATTCGGCCCGCGGTAGAAAATATCAAGAGAGTACTAGTTTTGTATACTTAGAATGAATTTCTAATAATAATCCCCACCTGAGTAGTTTTGCGTGACTTTAGTCCGCAATATGAGATATTAATTTAGAACTCCCGGTATACTACCGGCTACACTTTCTTTGATAAGAATGTATTTACCAATATAAGTTAGTATAGAATCACAGGTATATGAATGATGTCCTCGTATAAATCCTGAAGTGCATCATATAAACTATATACCTCGCTACGAGTATAGCTTTATGTTACTAGAAGCATAAGGTATGAGTCCAAACACCTTGTCCAATATTCTGTTATCGCAATATGGCCTGAATTTCAAGGTTACTTTACAGCTAGATTTCGATATGCGCATCCTGGACATTATTCAAGCAAGCACGTATCGGTGGTCTGACTGATGCTTATGCTGTCTACGTATTGATAATCAGAACATTCTGGTCGGTTCAATAGTCGTCACCGCGACTAATAACTTCTTTGACTGTCGGGCGCAATATGAAAGTCTACGTATCTCAGCTCTGGTTATGGTTAGGGAAAGCTTAGATAACTCACATGCTCTGACTGGGCGGTATATGAACCCTTGATGTCGACCAGTGGGGGATAGTCCTCCACGATCCCAGATGAAACCAAATTGTTGAGTCCAAGAAGGTACTTCTCATGCCCTAATCTGTCCAAATATCGCCGGCACCATGGTAGAGTACCGAAGTTCTTCGTGATCGAGCTTAGCAGTGTCTTTGCTGATGTCACCCGCAGTGGTACTCTGGGAGCATCTGGATTCAGTGCATAATGAGAACATTCCAACTAGACTCATTGTCAGCATGTGTAAATGTAAAGGAGTACTTATATACTTACGTCATCACGGACGTATCCTTTACCAGTACTCCCGAAGGTTTCTACGGCAAAGACTTCTCCTTCTTCCATCTTTGTCTGGTCACCACCTTTGACGATTGGCACTGACTTCCCGCCATGTATCCTGTACTGGTCGATGTTGTGCCCATTTAGATTACGGATACACTTGATAGGATATGTTGTGCCATTGATCTCGCACTCGTAGCTCTCCATGACTTCCTGGATCGCAGCTCCAATGTCACTCATGCGAACATCTATACCAGCTTGCTGTAGATATATCAGCAATCATTGCATCATCAGTATGCTATCAGACTACCTTGACACCCTCATTAGTAGCTGCTTTGACAGCAGCTAACAGCGGGTCGTATTTTGGATCAAACGCCATCGTAAAGGCACTATCGACGATCCTACCATTGAAATGTACCCCAAAGTCGACCTTCATGACGTCCTGTTCGCCAAGTACGGTCTTATTACCCGCATTTGGTGAGTAATGTGCGGCAATATGGTTCAGATTGAGACCAGTTGGGAAACCCATGCCGGCTTTCAATGCATCGCCCTCTTCAAGACCTTGATGTCCTGCAAGGGCACGAACACTGTCCTCAATGCCCTCTGCAATTTCAGTGAGAGTCTGCCCTGGCTTTATCCACTTTTGTGCCCATTGTCGTACTTGTCTATGAATCTCTGCGCCCTTCCGAAACTCTGTAACCATGTCTTGATTAATGCGATCTAGATGACGCTTCTCTTCATTTGTCGAACGGTAGAGGTTTTCGTCTCTATATTCGCATATCTCTCCTTCCGGGAAGTTCCCATCGGGGAAGAGCTTATCGATTTGTACGCGCGGAGGTGAGGTTTGTGTCTTTGAGCTGGCCTTCTTTTTCTTCTTCTTATTTTTCTTCTTCTTTTTCGCAGCTTTTCGGTATGTCAGAAGATGTACATATGAGGTGTGACTTTACAATCTACCTCCGCCAGCTGGCGCTCCTTCATCTACCTCCTCTTTTTCATCCTCAGATTCGTCTTGTTCTGCATCGCCATTTTCGACTTTTGGCGCATCCTTCGTGCCAATCCCGGTCTTACTGCTGGACTGTTCCACTGGACATAGGGTCAGCGAAAGATAGCCATGGATCAAAATAGAAGCCACATACGGTTCAGGCGTTCAACACCCTCAGTTGCTTGAGCCGCCATGATGTGGAACACCTAATTTTGAGTATGCACATGAGGAAATAACTATAGCGGATCGGCTTGACCCCGCTAAGCCCAATGTGAGACCTTAGCACGAGTACGTCACTATTCCTGCAACATGAGCTGCTTGTAATCTCATTTGACTCTCGAATACTTCAACCGTGCATTGCACATCGTACCGCTTCCTTTCATAGTAAAACTACCAGTCGTGCACCTTAATTGCGGAATGCAGAAACTTCAATGCCTCTACGGCGGTCAATTTTCACCCTCACGTCCCCTCCCCGAACACAACTATGCCAGCTAGCCAATCGCCACTCGCGCTTCCACACATCGTCCATACGGCGTGCGCAGACAGATGTATTTCCAGACCACTATGAGACCCTTTCTCTCTCTCCTGATGCAACCCAAAAAGATATTAAACGGTACGCCCCATGTCTAGCATTTTCCCCTAGGGATTCAAGTGTTCTCCCTCACATCGGCTTCTTCTTCTCGCCTCACTGCCTCCAACTGACACTCCACAGTCAATACTTCACACTATCCAAACGCCACCACCCCGACACCTCTGACAGTCCCGACTCACTCCCACGCTTCCACGCCATAACAGATGCATACCACACTCTTGTCGATCCCGCTACGCGTTCTACCTACGACCGCGACTACGTGCGCGTTTACAACACTGCCGCCGGTGCCCCTGCATATCCCGCGGGCTCACACGCCTCACACACATCATCCTATGCCGGCTCGCGCCCAGCGTCTGGGCTGTCGCGTCGGAGGACGCGATTCAGAGGTCCGCCGCCGAGCTTCTATCGAAACGGTAGGTATGGGACGCAGAGCGCTAAGAGGCAGGCAAATGAGCATGCCTCAGCCGGGAGTGAAGCAGAGGCTAATGCGGCGGGGCAAGGTATGGGAGGTGGATTTGGACCTGGGCAGAGCTCGAACGTGTTTGGAGGTGGTACGCCACATTTCGATACACAAGCTCATAGGCGAACACACGAATCAATTATAAATGGCCGAGAAGCAAGGAGGCGGGCGACGGGGACTTTGATACCGGATGATCATTATGAAGGTCCGAGGTATCATCAGCTGACGATGTTTCTTATGCTTTGTGCGATAGTAACTTCTGGGGTTGCGGCAGGGGGTTTATTGAAACAAAGACCTGTTGCGCGAAAAGAGAAAAGGGGACAATAGCAAGGCTATGACAGAGCACGCAATGTAGACTTTAGACGACAGTATGTACACACAACACTCACGGGTTATGGCGCACATCCTTGTACATACATTAGAATGGACAAGATGTTGCGGCATGTGTATGGACAGATATGCATTGTAGTGGATTGTTAGTACATGAGAGGGAACAGAGCAACGGGGGTCCAAGTGAGATAGCTTCATCCATCCACGGAGGAGATTGGGTGTACGGATGACAGTCCTAGTGGGCTGCTGATGCGGACGTGTCCAAATCTTGCTTAACCCTCAAAGGTGAAACTGGCACCAACCTTGTGAGTTGACTCATTTAGTTTTTGTGTATCAACAGAGGCGCCAACACCGAAGGTGAAACCGGGGTTGACCTTGGTATTATAAGAGAGGGCAGCGATACCGCGGTCATTGATCTTGGCCTAGTTAAAAATATTAGTACATGATCCGTTGTGACTTCATGGATTGAAGACATACCTTGGCAAAAGATAGAGGATCAAGTTTGTACTTGCTGGCAAGCTCGATGCCTACAGTAGAGGCAGCTTTAGTGTCGTATACTGCCTTCACACCGGCCTCAACCGAGGGGTTGACCTTCTGGTAGTAGGTGGCAGCAAACACGCTGAGGTTTTGGGTAGCTTGCACAGCGGCACTGAAGTTGCCCTGGTTATACCCAAGAGCAGCAGAGTACCGGCTGACAGCAGCCTTTTGGACGTCGTAACCAACCTCACCACCAACAAGGAAGCCCTCGTAGCCAGCCACACCGTCCACAATTGCCGAGAGATTGCCTGCAGCGGTGTAGTCGAAGAAGGAGCGGAAGTGGAAGTTCGGCTGCTTAAAGAAGAGGTTCACCTTCTGGCCAGCGTTGCCACCCTTCGAAGGGTTAAGAAGGGTCAGGGCCTCAGCCTTCAGACCTTTGGTAATGGTGTTGTCGAGCTCGACTTTGGTGCTCAAGAGCGAAGCAGTGTTGAATGATTCCGTGATGGTGATGCCTGCATTTTTCGATTGCATCAGCTTGTGTCTCATTCTGTATGTTGTGGATCTGATATACGCTCTTCCCGTCTTCTGCCGTCTATCCGGGACGGAAGACCAGACGAAGTCGAAAGTGAAGCTGTTTTGGCGTACAACAGGTACGTGTAGAGTGGAGGAGAGATGGGAATCGTTACCATTGGAAAGTGCTTTCTTTCCCTCAATCTGTACGAACATAAGTATCTCAGCTTGTATTGATGATCAACTACATACCGAGGCGCTGACGGGTCCAGAGTGAGGTGATGTTCCCTTGGTAGTGAAAGCAACGCCGTTGGCAGCCTTCAGCTTGACCTCGAGGAGAGCTGTTACCAAATTAGAAAATCGAGTCGACTGCCTTGGCTTCCTAGACACATACCAGAAGTCGCATGGTAGAAATCTCTATTGATGAGCTATTTGAAAGGTCCGTTAGTCAGTCCTTGGTCGCAGAGCTCTTGAGCTGGGCAATTGCGCGGTTACATACGTCGTTTGCGGCCTTGCCAATGTCGGCAAAGGCAGGAGGTGGAGGAGCAGGAGCTACAAGTTTTTCGGCCATTGTAACGGATGAGGTTGTCCAGAGATGGAACGAAAAGGTAATCTGAATTGTGATGTTGGTGCAATAATCTGTGAGAGTCTTGCGGTGAAAGGAGGAAAGATTTGGCGCTCAACGTTTTACCTCACAGCTAATCCGTAAGAGTGGGTCACCCTGAAAGGAAAACAACCACGGAAAATCTCGGAGCCGGACACCAAAGACGCTTCACCTCATCCACACCCGTGCACTCATCCTAGCCATGAGAGCTTCATCATGCACGACATTCGTTCTTGGTTTTCATTACTTGACCAGTTCTCGTCCAATATACATCTCAGTCTATACTTCTAGATTCACCGACTCTACGATGAGTAATGCAAATCATCTACAAGCCGAATACTTTCCACTAACAAGGGAGAGCGAAGACGCCAAAATGAACGACTATCTGTCCGAATCTTCATTTAGGAAGATAACACGTTTATTCTGCATGCTCATACTTTTTCTGATGATACGATATAGCCCTGCATCGAGTCAGTAAAAGCTTCGTAATGTGAAATATTACCAGAGCATACCGTCCACTTGGATCTGTCTGTTTAGACCATGTCGGCGTCCATCGCATGACTGTTGACGCGCAGGAAGACGGAAAATGCTCGTCGAACATGCAGCGATACCAGTAACTATATACGTTAACCCTTGCGCAAAAATATTGATGGGATGAACGCATACGCTTCCTTAGTGTCCGGAACATCGTCGCCCCATTGTGGCTTCGGCTTCTTCATGTCTTCGTCACTAACGTGTAGTTCAGCGTTGTCCCTTAAGGCGTCGATCCATCCGTAGCCAACACCATCACTGAACTGCTCTTTCTGTCGCCACAGGATCTTATCCGGAAGGTAGGGCTTGGTGTCCGGTTCCTCGCTTGTATCAAAGGCCTTTCTTAAGATGTATTTCTCGATGCGCTCTTTGGTGATCATTTTCTCCTTAGGGTCTATGTTCATTGCGATATCGAGAAACTTCTTGTCCAGGAATGGCACACGTGCTTCTACTCCCCATGCTGCAGTCGACTTATTGGCACGAAGGCAGTCCGCAAGGTGAAGATTCTTGACTCGGCGCACGGTTTCCTGGTGCAAAGCGTCTCTATCAGGAGCCGCGTGGAAGTAGAGGTAGCCGCCAAATATCTCATCACTACCTTCGCCACTAAGCACCATCTTCACGCCCATGGCCTTGATCTTCCTGCTAAGCAAAAACATGGGGGTAGATGCTCGAATTGTAGTAACATCGAATGTCTCAAGATGGAATATGACATCGGACAAGGCATTAAGACCATCTTCGATGGTAAAAGTGAACGAGTGGTGGCGAGTTCCTAAAAATTGTGCTGCCTCCTCGGCTGCCGCAGTGTCGGGTGCGTCCTTTAGTCCTATCGAGAAGGAGTTGAGGACCGGAAAGAGCTGTACAGTAGACAGCTGGTTGTCATCATCAATACCAACAAGCCCATTCTGTTGAGACACGCCGTTTCCGTTGGCGATCTGTTTTCGAGCTTCTTCATTCAGCCTCAGTGTCTCTCGCTGGGCAATGGATGCGACCAAACTCGAATCAAGTCCACCTGAAAGCAAGACTCCATATGGTACCTCGGCCATTAATCTCTTGCGTACCGAGGTCTCCAGGGTCTCTCGAAGTAGTTTGTAATTTAGAGGGGTGTCGGGAGTGGTCTCCGGTTGCATCAACCACTTGGGCACGTAGTAGCGTGTGATCTTGTCCGTATTCGAATCATATACGTGTCCTGGAGGGAAGCTCATGATGTCGTCACAGACAGGGTGTAGACATTTCAGTTCAGAGGCGAAGTATACTGCTCCTGGAGTTTCACTTGATCGTCCCATGTAGAAGGTGGTGATGCCAATTGGATCGCGTGCTGCAACAATTCGGTCTTGCACCTTGTCATGGAGTACCCATGAGAACATGCCATCAAGGTGTTTGGGCGCATCGATATCATGCTCTAGATACTGCGCCGGGGTCAGCCGTTACTCTTCACGTCAATAATTCTCTGTAGACGCACCAATGGTATGATAACTTCGCAATCAGAGTGCGTCTTGAAATTGTATGGCTTTTGGAGGTGTTTTCGTAGGACCCTGTGGTTATAGATCTCCCCATTGACTGCCAAAGATACAGTTCCTTCATCATTGACGATGGGCTGAGCCCCAGTGTCTACATTCACATGAGCTGTTCCTCTTGCGCACGCCAAATCTCCAACAACGTACCAATACCGACAATACTCAAACGTTCGTGTACGAGAACTAAAGCAGTTGTCAAACCAGGCCTTGCGTTGATGAGCATATACTCACTAGTATTATTCGCGATAACGTTTCCACCTGCGAATGTTCAGCATAGCTTGTGAATGTGTCGTGCTTTGATCCTCACTCCAATCTGGGCCCCGATGTCGGACGCTGCACTTAAGTCAGTATATCGATGAAATAGTGAAGGCCCAGACAACATACGCTTTGCCCATGCGGAGTGCCGTAGGCTTAAACTTTTGGACATCCGGGTGACTACAACGACATTATCAATCATGGCAATTCATTCCAAAGACAAGGGAGCAAGATGTTGCTCTGTAAGAGGAGGGTGCGCACCGGTGGCAGGCGAAAATTCCACACATGCTGTCGAAACTGAAAAGGACTGTTCACGCGATTACGTTTATGGTGTTGAGGAAGATCAATGAGGTTTGTGAGAAGAGGGGAGAGGAAAGGCTTGTCCGTAGTTATCGCAATTTTGATCAAGAAATTGAGTCACGCTGAGCGAACGCGGACTGACATAACGAGCGCCCCACCATAGATAGATCTCAATGCCACTATCGGCGCCGCTAATTCGGCGACCCTTGGGCGACCCTTGCATGCCATGCAGGCAAGACGCACACCCACGGTCCAACCCTAGCCGGCGTAAATAGAATTATTCCTGGTCAACATGAGGCTGGTGATGCACCCAACGACCGATGGAGGCAAACGTACACATACAGCACGCCCTACCTCACTTGCCAGTATGTGCTCAACAGTATTCCATATGCACATGGGAGACATCAGGAAAAGTCGTGTATAGTGATTAGGAAGTAGATTGACCCCGTTGCTATCTGACAGCCAGACGTATAACCCGTCCATCTGGTCCGTACCCAGTCAGCTCCTTACTCATTGTCGCAAGGTTTCATACTTGAAAGGGAAACGTCAACTCTCAACACAACTAAGTAACATGGAAAACAAGGGGTTTTTACCGCAAGGTCAATCAAAACAGAATGCCATGGAACCCCTGAGGCCTCCTCTTGCGATGCAAAATAAGCTAATCATCGCCAATCCTGGTATATCGTGTAAACTAAGGACGTCGATGCCAGGCTCATTTGTGTATCCTTGGAATTCCAACATATCATTACGCCTCGTGCCTTAGGGGTCGTAGTGTCTATCACGGATGACGTGCAGAGTGATCTCGAATCATGGGATCCTTTTACGATATATGAGTCTCAACTCAAACTACCTCAAAAGAAAAAATAGGCGAGAATGAAGCTGATGAGGCAAAGTCCAGCCACGTAAGGTACTGGAACGCCATTCGCAGGAGCACGTTGAAGTGTAGCTGTTACTGTTCCAGGACCACTGCGCTGAGAATCAGTGCCGATCTTCCGCTGCCTCAGGCCCTGAGTAGCTTCGTCCTTTAGTTTTACAATTGTAGCTTGGGCAGTCGCCAGTTGCTGCTTGAGTTCTTCAGTGTTTGTAGGAACTGCGGCTACCACTGTGGAAGCTCCAGAGGTGACTGCAGCACGAGCTGTCCCAGCTACATGCTCCACAGTCTCTCTGGCGGTGGTGACCGACGGTGTGGAATCGGAGATACGCTGAGGGGTGACTGCATCTGGCGAGGGCGAGCTCGGTGCGTGATCTGCTGTAATACCGTTCGACTTCAGTGGGGTTGCGGCTTCCGAACCGTCGGCGGGCAAGAAAACGACACGAATCTTGCGTTCTTGAATAGACGACTTGGCAGTTTCTTCGATGTGCGACCACTACACGATTAGAGCAGTGTACTTATGATCTTTAATTGTAACCTACGATAGAAGCAACGTTACTGAATTCTCTGTCGGCAGAGACTGCAACGGACTGTACGAGAAATTTGTCGCGGCATTTCGCATCTGGTGGAGGATCTTCCTTCATAGACTGCAAGAGAACTTTGATAGTGTCAGTATTCAGATCTTGTTAGATTTATATGTTATGATGTACCTTGTACTTCGACTTCGCCATGAGGCTCGATGCGACCAGAATTTGGACGGACACAGTATCTAGGAGTAGTACGTCAATGGTGTTATGATACGGACTTGACATCAACAACATACTGTTTAGGGGCGGTAGTTTTGACCTAAAAAGCCTCAGTCAGTCACATGGAATAATCTATTCGTACAGACGGGATAAACACTTACCTTGAAGGCCACTGGGTCGGAGTGCGGATTCTTCAATCGAAGCACATTGGCGACTTCATGCTGGAAAGGGCCTGAGGTGTATGTTAGTCCATCACTGGAACATTTCATTGGAGCCTGGCGCGTAAATGGTTGACTTACGTTTGAAGCCGAGCTCAGGCGGATCGAGTTCGACCGACATGGTTGTTAAATGCGTGCACACGCTGTCAATAGTATTATAAACGCCTAGAAGGTTAGACGAGGGTGACGACAAGGCCTAGAAGGTAGACTTGTTTGTGTCTGTCTAGACCGACAGTTGGCAGGCTGAGGATATAGGTCGCAACAAGGATGAAGAGTGGTGTTGATGCCGGAGTCTGGGAGACAAATGATGTAGGGATTCGATGTTCGAGTTCGAGGTGAGGTAAGTAGGTAATTAGTTGGTGGAGATCTGGGCACGAAGTCCAACCCTCCCTAGTCGGCGGGTCGGCATCCACGTCACTGCCTTCCAGGTCCCGTCCATGTGAACGGATTTATATCATCAGTGTTTTCGAAACAATAAAAAAGAAATACTTCACTATTAAATCGTATGAAATTTCAGATTGAAAGTGCACCTAGTGTACGATATCTGCATATCAAGATGTTTTCACGTATGGTCGAGTTCGCTGACTACCTTAACTCCGGACGGACCCGTGGTTCGCTAATACCCATACTACCCATATAATCCGAGAAGGAAGTTGCCTACATCACATCCCCACTATATCAGAAGCTTCGACTATCTCCGTTCCTTCCTACAGCAACATCACTTACTGAGAGGGTTCCACGATGCCGACGGACTTAGAGCAACTCAAGGAGATGGGCTTTGACCCTGAGCGTGCTCAGCTTTCATTGAAGAAGTCCGGCAACTGTATGTATCATCAGTCATGGACCATAGTATCGATCTAACAACATATATGACAGTAACACAGGCACTTGAATGGCTCGAAAAGAATCAGGATATGTCATGGGAGCAGATACAAGAGTCAGAGGCAGCAGCAAATCATGGGGTTGACGAAGATGCGCCAGCGCTCAAGCCTGGCGAAGAAGCGAGATCACTCAAGTGTTCCGACTGTGGCAAAGGGTTCCGAAGCACTGCCCAGGCCGAATTCCACGCCTCGAAGAGTGGTCATGAGAATTTTGAGGAATCTACCGAGGAGATCAAGCCTCTCACCGAGGAAGAGAAAGCAGCAAAGCTCCAGGAACTCAAAGAGAAACTGGCCGCTAAGCGCGTGGGCTTGACGGAGCAGGAGAAGGCGGAGAAGAAACAAAACGAGATGATCCGGCGTAAAGCAACCAAAGAGAGCCAAGACATCAAAGAGCAACTCCAAGTCAAAGAACGTCTGAAAGGTATGACGAATTATCCTATGACTATATATGTCGCTGACTACAGTACCAGAGGCGCAAGCAAAGAAGAAGGAGAAGCAGGACGAGATCGATGCTCGTAAGCGTGCTTTGGCAAAGATTGAGGCAGACAAACAGGCCAGAAGAGAAAAGGCAGAGGCCCAGAAGGCCCAACGTGCTGGACTTGCGCCCCCTGAACCAGCAGCACCCGCAGCTCCAACCAAAACTACCGCTCCGAAGTCGAGCGCATCCTACACCGAGGCAAGACTCAGGCTGCAGACGTCCAACGGCACTGTCACCAAGACGTTCCCTGCAGAGACAACTCTCTTCGAGGTTGCACATGCCATCGCCGCTGAGAATGGCGTCCAGGCCAGTTCATTCACGACCAACTTCCCAAAGAAATCATTCGAGCTAACTGATTTCGGGATGACACTGAAAGAAGCTGGAATGGTACCAAGCTCGGCGCTTGTTGTGAAGTAGGGAGCACTTGTGCACCTATGGATGCATGAGAAGGCGTAAAGGGTGTGAAACTTCCAGAGATAATCCGATCGGGGGAGCATATGAGCACTGGAGTTGATTGAGAAGTGCATACATTTGATGATTGGCAAGTGGTTGGCAAAAAGTGTAGCAGGCAGAACTACTGCCCACAGATAGGGGTATCTATTCAATGACAAAACAGACAGTGTATCGATCACAAATGAGCGAAGATCCTATGTTTACATGTTTATTCTTCTGAGGCCCTAGTGATACTGGAGGTGGTAACACTTTCCTGCTCGACCATTCCCAGATATGAAATCTCCTCGCTTGGTCCTTCGGTCGTACTTCGCCTTTGCATGACCTACCACGCTCAAATACGCGTACGCTATATCGTTCATTTACCATAGAAAGTTCGACTGTATTTAGCAAATTTTGCTAATCACCTCATCGTACTCCCTCACATAGCGTACTCGAGTACGTACCTAAGGCAGTCTATATTGCCGGCTTATTGAGTGGCTACATACGTTGCCGTTATCGAATCTCAACCGGCCGATGCATCGCACTCGTATGAGCAACCAATCAGCGACGAAACAGCAGTTATTATAAGTACAGCCACGGACAGCCATTCAGGACTTTGCCATTGCTGGGTCTGAAAAGATGTCATTTGTGGTAGGAAGAATTTGAAGTGAGAGAAGGGCTATTCGAGGTAGGTCAGTCTATGAGCGAATTTAGATCATCAGGAGCACAGATATCATCGTTAACACGTATACAAAGGAAAATTACCAATATTTTTTAAAATATGACTTGCGTTAAATTCATTATACTGCCAGATACTGACCGGTCTATTACTTTTGAATTCCACAAAATGGAAGTGACTTTACACGCTCTTGATTGCAGGTGCTTTAAATTCGTATCCAATCTCCTTGAGCTGCGCAGCCTTTACTGAGCGTCTCTTCACTTCTTTAGTGATCCTCCTCTCCCAGCCTTCTTTGTGTAGAGGCTGTCTAAGGTGCTTTGCAGCCAACTTATTACGTGGCACTGCCTTAAACCTCGAGTTGGCGCCGGCGAAGAGATTCTTGTGTACCTGCTCCTTCGGTACTGTGCGGACTTGCAAAATGTGGTTGAACATGAGATATTTGTCCATCGTGTTAGCAACGATCTTAGCGACCTCCGAAGACGCAAACTCGACGAATGCGTAGTGTTTAGACTGGCCTGTCTTTTTATTGCGGGAAAGACGAAGGCGGGTGATATCTCCAAATTGTGAGAAGTATGCGCGCATCTGGTGCTCGTAGAATCCGTGAGGAATGCGACTGACTAATGTTAGCGAGCTCGAAAGGATGACTGCCATGTATGCTTACCCGACGTAAATAACGCCCCGTTCTTCTACGTGGTCTCCGGCAGCTTTGAGCCTTTTCTGAAGCGCTTTGCTACTAGGTGCGGCTGGAACGTTGTCAATAGCAGCGGGCTCATCCACCACTATCTCTTCCTCATCTTCGCTACTCTCGAACCCTTTCAGGAGCTCTGCAGTCTGGTCATCGACCTCGTCACCCTCATTATCTTCGTCAAAGGGCACTTCAACGGGTTCGGAGATCTTGCTTTCTTTCTTCAACTTCGCTAAGCTTTTCTTAGGCTTTGACTCAGATTTGGAAGGCTTTGGCTCTTCCTCTTGAGACTTTAATTCGGTCTTTACAGTCTTCAATCCCTCTCTTTTGGGCTTTGACTCGACAGTCGCTGGCTTCGATTCGCCTTTCTTTGGTTTGGTAGTATCCTTCCTCGTGACTTTGCTCTCCAGCTTCAGGGTAACGATTTCTTCCTGGTCTGTCTTCTTCACAGTCTTCTTCTCCTTGGTGGCTCCTTCAGGCTTAACAGTCCTCACTTTCTTGGACGCCGGTGCTGTCACAGGAGCTACTAGTACTTGCTCCGTCTCGAAGAAATCGGCTGCACGCTTTCGCGTCGATTTCCGGGTCCCATTTGAGCCGCTCTGGGTGACGACAGGCTCGTTAACCGCCTTTGTAATATTCTTTGTGGTGGCTTTCTGCTCCACAGCGTCGTTAGGCACAGGAGCTTCTTTAGTATTCTTGGCCTTCTTCGTATTTCGGACGGAGTCTGTGTCGACTGTAGTCTAATTAGACTTCAGTCAAAATTGGTATGGCCGTTGAAACTTACTTTTTCTCTTCGAGGTCTTCAAAGAAGCCGCCATGTTTGCGATTAATGGAACTGGTCTTGCTCGACAGTACTCAGGTGCTTTTGGTGCTGTACAATTTATTCTATCCTAAAGAATTGTCCACCAATTCTTAGCGTAAAAATGTTCCTGCCGAACATGGTCCGAGCCGCTAGTGTGACATCCTATGCCAAGACAAGTTTCCATTTGTTGAAGTCCAGTATGAGTTATTGGCGATCAAGAAGCTATATTGCATAAATCTTCTCGAAAATATGGATCAATCAATCGATCTCATGGATCCTGCAGCATGGGATGACTCTGCGCTGATCGATTCCTGGGATATGGCCTTGGCAGAATACAAGGTATTGCGAATAGGTTTGTGTACGAGACCTTTGTCTAATCCTTAACAGCGCTATCACAGTATTCACGCAAGAGGAGAGAACGTCAAGGATATCATCAAAAAGTATAGAGATGTTAAATGGGACCTGTATCATCCCATATCAATCCGAGTCACCATATGTGCTGATACCATATAGTGCCGAGGTCGAGGCCGGATTGAAAAACATGCCTCTGGACGATGAGCTACCACCTATGAACAATTACAAACAAGACGATCAAGATGTAAAGGAGGCGGTAAAGGACCGCAATGTGCGTGTATAGTAGCTGCCTGACCAAATGGAGCCATTGACGTTGATAGACCTCCGAGCAACCACCTGATACAGCACAAGCACCGACCAACGTCAGTGTAGAACTACCTCAGGCTTTACTTGCGACTGGTGGGCAATCTTGCGACTTGAACTTCGAGAGTGGGTATCCTGCTGACTTTATTTGGTAGTTCCCGATGAGCAGCTCAAGAACCTTATGATGGCTTGGTATTACGCCGGGTACCATACTGGGCTAGTAGAGGGACAGCGCAAGGCCCAGGAAGCCATCTTGGCTGAGACGACCAAATCTTGAGTACAATTGGAAGACCTAAACTCCCGAAAGGTGATTTTTGTCCACGAGAATGAAGCGCCAGCCTAGTCTGAGATATGATGGCCAGCTCCAAGTCTAATATCGTTGACGAGGGCCGTGTTCGAGCGGCTCTGGCCAGGGAAATTCGAAACAAGACTCGTGACGAGAACCACGTGTGCAACAGAGCCGCGAAACGCTGGTGACTTAGAATTTCGATGTGTCTGAGACTCTAGAAACCTGTTGCAAGACGATAGGATTTGGTCCTGAAGTACACAATGAGACTTACCATTTCATGCAGGAGTCGTTGTCTTGTTGTATCAGACTGTAACGAACCGTTTAGCCTGGGTTGGGCGGCAAGGGCATGTTCACACTAATCCTAATCGAGTGTATGCGACGAACGTGAGACACCGCCCGAGACGGCTCCAACACAACTATTGTCGAGAAAGGTGTCCCTGATTGTAGACTATGTCTGAGGCTCTCTTCCAATATTGTCTGTTTCTGCGGAGAAAACATGTAATTCTAGCGGAACGCCGTCGAACCGACGGCCACATCGTTTCGAAGTTGACCCCTTCTACCCAGGTCTCTCAAACATACAATTTCATGCTCATGTATAAGCTGCTCCAGTTCCCATCAAGTGGTCTGCTATTCTTCCACAGTTCCTCACCAAGCATAGTAATTGTTCTTCGTTCCTCTCTTTTATCGCCTTTCCTTCCCTTGACCGAGCCGGCCCTCGCATCGCGCTTCTATTATCTTCTATCCTCCTTATCGTTTGAATAAAACTTTTACCGCAGAGCGGCTTTAGTCATCTTTATTATCTGCTCTTCGCAAGACCATATAACGAAACTAAGAATATGAGAAGCTACGCATTCATTTCGCTTCTGGCTGCGGCGGCCGGTGCCACTATGCACGAGGCCATGCCCATGGAATCGCCTGCACCAATGGCTATGGTCGCTTCAGAAGTTGCTCCTCCTGCGGGCGCAATGACCCACACTGTAAGATACCCTTCCAATAACATTAATGATGCCTACTAATGTCGCTCAAGGTTATTGTCGGTGGAGCAAAGCCCGCCGCTGAAGCTACCGGCGCACCTACGCCTCTTCTCTCTTACAATCCGGAGTCCGTTAAGGCCAACGTCGGCGACGTGATCGACTTCCAATTCATGCCGAAGAACCACACTGTGACACAGTCGACCTTCGGAAAACCCTGTGTGAAGATGGAGGGCGGTGCAGACTCTGGCTTCATGCCCAATCCCGATGGAAAGGCCGGAGTCAGTTGGAAATTCACTGTGCCATCAACAGACCCAATCTGGATGTACTGCAAGCAGAAGACGGGCAATCACTGTGGTGTTGGTATGGTTTTTGCTATCAACCCCAATGACAACACAGTCGACATGGCGAAGGCTGGTGGTGACAAAACGTTCGCGGCATTCAAGATGGCTGCGATCGCACAGAACGGTACTGCGGCGATGACGGGTGGACTTCAAGCTACTCCTACGGACGCACCAGCTGCGCCTTCGACAGTAACTATCAGTGCAGCTGGTGGACAGCAGACTGCTGGTATCGCTGCCCAGCCGTCTGTCATACCGGGATCTGGCCAGGCTGCGGACGGCTCGAGCTGCTCTTGCTCTTGCTTATGCGGTGCAAACTCTTTCCCTCCCCAAGCAGCTGTAAATAATTTCGGTGGTTTCGCTGGTATGATGTCCAAGCCTTAGTCCTATCACGGGTCTATGCTGCAGAGTGGTCTCAGAAAAGGGGAGGTGTTAGTGGATGAACTTGTAATAATCTCATTTGTGGTTTACATCCTTTGGGAGGTGCTCAAACACCCCCAACGGACAGCTGGTCTCAAACCTTAGGTTTTGGGGTCTCCATCGGCGTTGCAGGATACCATAATTTAGACATTGTGCATATTGCTTGTACACAATTGCAAGAAATAGAACACAGAACCTAGTACTATCATAAACCTAAGATGAGTGTGGCTTTAGCATATGAAAGTGTCTTTAGCTCGCTTTGTGTCGAAGGTCTCTTCGAGGACATTGCCTCATAAACTGTACATATACGTTTGTAGATCAGTCAGCTTCAAGTCAACGAAAAACAGCATAGTAGTAACTTGTGTATGGCTAGAACGGTATCAAAGATGTGCTGTAATCTTCGCATTTCTCTTATATGATCCTTGCGTGTATGGCTGCAGGACTCTTATAGGGTATAAGTATTGTCCTAGGTCGCTTAACTCCCAGAACCGTTGACTCGTGACACTCGAAAGCCTCTTATGCGCCGTTCCCGTGATACGCCAGTACTCCAGCGTCTGCTCAGGATGTCTGTACCTTCGGGTCTCCCTTCGCAATTATGGTGTCCTCTTCTTGTTCCTCTTCGGTATCGCTGTCAGCGCGTTTCCAGTCTGAACTCCTTCGGCTGATGCGTAGGGGAAATGGGTCCCGCGGGCTGGCAAGAGGGCTGCTAGGTGTGATGCCGCCGATGCTACCAGTGATACTTTCCGAGCGACCATGACCGAGCTTGCCACTACGTACGCTCGCTCCATCAATCTGCTTGCTGGCATAATAGCTATTGCGTTCACTACTCAATGTAGGGGCTACAGCACCTGACGATGAGTAAACGCTGGCTCGCTCCGCACTTGCAAATCCCGTCATTGTAGTAGGTCGGGGTCCTTGATTTGTCGACGTGGCTCCATCAACACGATCACTAAGAACACTCAAGGGAAGTGATTCGCGACTTCCTCCCCATACTGATGATGGCGCTAAAGCTCGAACAGAAGCATTGGTATCTAGTGAATTACGTCGGCGTCGCTTTGAGGATGACGCGAGTGTGAGGATGGATGCGTTGTCAGTAAGTACACCGTTCGCAGTGGCAGCTTGGTATGTCTGCGGAACGTTGTGTGGTGCCAGATGCGGTGGTATCGCCGAAGCCGGAGATACAGGGAACTGATGAGTGAATTGCACAGGATTCTGGCTTCCTTGTGGAGCGTTGGCAACATTTCCTCCATTTTGCGTTGTCAAAAGGCCTGACGCAGCCGTGGACTGAATTGTCGTGAGGGTTGTGGTAAGAGATCGCTCTGAATGGTTCGGGGAGGAGAAAGTGCTGTTCCCCCCTCCGGCTGAGCGACTAGTCTCAGCCTTTGATTGTCCTGTCTCCGAGTGAACAGTCTCTGGATTGGTTGTGACTGTTGGTGCTGCGGATTTATTGCTGATAGTAGGCGCACGTTGATCTCCTGTTCCTCCTTGTTCGTCTATAGAGCCAAAGCTCCCAGCTGAATGTCTAGCGGGACTGAAGGGGGAGGGATGGCCGTTGGCATCCTTATTGTGAGCCTGAGGGTATCCTGATTCAGGGTATGGATTGTTCTTCAAGCGAGTAGCCTTCTTGGACTTCGAAGGTGAGCCTTTTTTGTTTGTATTATTGTTGGAATCTGACGATGAACCTTTGAGGTTCGCAAGGCGTTTGACCCATTGCGAAAACGGGCGCCGGCGATTATGCCACGCTGAATGAAAGATCATGTTAGCTATACCATCGTCAGAAACAATCAAAGAAATATACGTACTACTATTCTGTTTAGGCGCAGCCTCAACTTCCGCCATGATCGACAATGATGAATATGAGATGTCTCGCAAGAGCTTCGTAGGTCTCTCGAAAGAATGTACTTCTGTGGTAGTGAGAAAGCAGTTGAGGGCTTAAGCAGCAGCCTCCAAGGGATGGAGCTTGGCTCGATGACGAGGCGTTGCTGTCGGAGGTGATCCAAGGAGTTTTTCTACCTGTAGAACGAGTGCCAATGCTACGTGTATGATAATAGCTGACTGTGTATGCGCAGAGGGCTGTCAGTGAGCGAGATTCGTGTTATGTATATGAGGGAAGTTGTGTATGGTAGGGTTGGGCAGCGGGCTGGCGCGACTGATCAGCCAATCGCAAGGTCACGTGTGTTCGCGCCAAAGTCCTCTGACTGAAATTGAAACTCCACAAGCCTTGTAAACACAGACATCTTGGATAATCCTTCTTCTCTCCACGCGCTCTTGGTCGGTCCATCAATGATTCGAGATACCCGTGTGCCCGATACGCACGCTCTCTCATACCGCCTCGTGGATGACATCGGCAAAGGTAGACACAAAGCATTCTTCACGACAGCAATTAGACCATAGCTCTCATGATCACAGATCCTCGACCATAAAACGTCTTCCGCATGATGTTATCAATACTATCAAATCCTCCACATACATCACTTCACTAGAGGACGTCGTAAAGGAGTTGATAAAAAACTCTTTGGATGGCAATGCATCCAGGATCGAGATAGCTGTAGATCTTAGTAAGGGCTCTTGTGTAGTAGAGGACGATGGTGATGGAATTGAGCCCAAAGACTTTGTAGAGGGCGGTGGGCTTGGCCAGATATATCGTGAGTACTGCACGGTGTGGCTTTGCTCATACACCGCTGATAGACTAGATACTTCCCGTCATGGTTCAGGCGACCAGAGTCATGGCCGTCATGGCGTTTTTCTGACGTCTCTCAGTGCGTTGTCTTTGCTCACAATCACTTCTCGCCACCATCTGCATCGATCAAGCAACACGATAGTCTTACAGCAGTCCAAGACAGTTGCACGATTACTTCCAGCGCCTCCGCGCCACGAGCTCTCTTTCGGTGCCCATGGAACTCGTGTAACTGTATCTAATCTGTTTGGTTCTATGCCCGTACGAGTCAAACAACGTGCGGCCAATACGAACCACACCAAATGCTTCGATACTTTGAAGAGAGATATCGTCGGTCTCCTTTTGGCTTGGAGGTCAAGTGTCCGTGTTCGTCTTCAGAGTGCTGACGGCTCTTTTCAAGTAATCTTGAGTCAGGTTCTGGCTGTGGCACCTAGTAGATTTGATACGCCAGTTGAAAGACTGACTTCCGTTCAGAACTTGAAAGCGGCCCCATTGCTATTGGCACAGGCTGGCTATATCAAACACCGTGACTTAAGTTCTTGGGTTCCAGTATCAGCGACCACGCCGTGTATCACGATTAGAGGAGTGATATCTGTGGAGCCAGCACCAACAAAAGTCACGCAATTTATCTGCTTAGGTATCAGACCTGTTCCGCGAGAATCTCACAATGAGCTCTTTGATTGCATCGACCGAGCCTTCAATAATTCTTACTTTAGTGTGGATGCTAATGTCAGCGATGATGATGCCAGATATCCGTCGTGCAGACCTGGACGTCCGCCACCGATCCAAAAGAGGAGCTCGCGAAAGGCCGTAGATCGATGGCCGATGCTTGTGATCTTCATCGATATGAAGTCTACCTTCGAATATTCTGTGCTTGATGTGGCGTCTCCCGAAAGCCAAAGCTCGCTACACAAAGTCGTCGGCGTCTTAGACAGCATGTTGTTCCAGTGGCTGTCGGCTCATCATTTCAAGCCACAACAACGAAAGATGAAGTCTGAGAACTTGGAAATACTCAAGAGCTCATCTATGCCCCTATCGGCCTCTGTATCAAAGTTGAGCACTGCATCGGCGAATGTGCGGAGTCCATCCGGCGGCACTTCTCAAACGGATGATCACATTGTCAATCACAGTGCCAACAGATCCCGGCATAATTTCAGTGATTGGAGCAGGATCAAGAGTGGCAACAGCCGATTCCTGGAGAACATCTGGAATAAAGGACCAGTGTGCGCGGACTCGACGGGCAGTTCCAAAGAGACAGGGCAGTCTTCCCCTTTCACCTTCCATATCAACCTTCCGAAATCTACGAACACGAACAGGTCGTCAGCCGACACCAAGAAAGCATCCATTCCATGTGTGACCCAATGCGCTGACGCAGACGTAATTCGTATGGATTCCGATGAGTCTAGGTCTAAAGACGACACAATCAGCTGGTTGGATCCTAGCTCGAAGGTAACAACGCTAATCAACGCGAGGACTGGTTGTATCTTGACAGATAAACCCTCGAGGAAGGCTACAATTTCAGCAGGCTCATCGCAGATTGCTCGCTTCTCGAGAGTTCCTTTACGCAATGAACAGAAGCATAAGCAAGCTGCCGACGACAAACGAACGCCTTGGCTTGATGATTTCCTTACCAAGTGGAAGAATCCTGTGTTAGAGACCACGGAGAAAAGAATCCCTTCCGTGTTCCACGAGAGTATGGGAAGCGAAGACACCCACAGAGGGCAGAAAGCGCTCGATGCTGCATTTGCTTATTGTCGAGAGCATCCGATGAAAAACATGGGTGCTATATCTCGGGGCGCCCTGGCCACTGCGAAAGTCATTGCCCAGGTCGACAGGAAGTTCATACTCGTCGACCTGGGAACATCATCCGAACAGGACAGCCATGAACCATCCAAGAAGCGACAGCTAGTCCTCGTTGATCAACATGCTGCAGATGAGAGGTGTCGGGTCGAAGAGCTATTAGCAGAGTTCTGCGCCTATTGTAGTGCACAAATCGGCACACTATCACCACCACCACCACTAATACGACTACCAAAGCCTATCCATTTCGAAGTATCGTCCAAGGATGCCACCGCTTTGGAAGCGGCCATACCCTTCTGGACCGGATGGGGCATCATCTACGATCTCGAGACCAGCACTCCAGATCGATGCGTCCGAAAGATGACCGTCAAATCACTCCCGCCCACCGTCGCCGAACGCTGCAAACTAGACCCCAAGCTCCTCCTCTCAATTCTCCGCGCCGAAGCCTGGAAACTCGGCACCGCGAAAGCGAAAAGGGCGCGCGCCATGCCGGCGCCGACAACGAATACAACCACGACCACGACAACAACCGACACGAAACACCCGTGGCTCCGGCTCCTAGCCTCCATACCCGACGGTCTCCGCGAGATGATCAACTCGAGAGCATGCAGGAGTGCCGTCATGTTCAACGACAAGCTCGACGTCTGGCAATGCGAGGCGCTGGTTCGGCGTCTGGCCTGCTGTGCGCTCCCTTTCCAGTGCGCGCATGGGAGACCGTCGATGGTCCCGCTCGTCGACTTGGATTGTTGTGCCTCCTCTGTTGTCGGCAACGGTATTCCCTGCGCCGACGTCGTTGGGGGTGTAAGTGTCTCCGGAGATGTGGTGCCTTTCAAGGCGGCTTTCGGGGCGTGGCAGTCTCGTCAAACCAAGGTCTCCTCGCGTGGACATTCGAGGGGCACGGGCGGGGGAGTTGAAGATTGAGTCATGATATTCGGCAGTTTGGACTGAATAGGCCAATTATATATACATATACATGTACAACAACTAATGCATGTATAACAAGCGCCATATCTGCACAGAGTGTCTTTGATTCAATCAATTGGGAGTTAATCATCAAGAGAACCTTACTCTGGGAGTCTATCTATGTGAATAGCACTTTAGAACCATTACTATCTAGGTCTAATTACTAGTGTATAAAAAAGAGTGTAGACTTATATATAGCTCTACACTTAGAAAGTAATAGTTAGATATAATCCCTCTTATACTTATCGGGTAAGAATATTCATTCCAGGAATAAGTAGTATAAGCCAATATAGAGTATATAGAGTGCTTCTTCTTTATCATACCGCCTAATATCTTTATATCTCGTCTTCTTCTGACTCATCTGCGGGCATCTCATCTGCGGGCAGCTCAATATTGCCCGGCGCATGCCTGTTCACCGGACTCCAAGAGACCCCTGGGTAAATGGCTTGGGTCGTTGGCAAAGGCACCAAGCGATCTTCATCATCAAGGCGTATTCTAAAGTCTCCTAGAAGTGCAAGCATGCCAAGGTACGCTACATTACTCGTGAATACTCAATCCAAATTATAGGAATAAGTGTATAACACTAACCAAAGCTTTCTGCCTTTGCGAGATTATAATACCTCGACGTGGTGTCAGTACACTGACGATAGTCGCGAGGAGGGATTGACCCAGTCACTTATACATTTATTAGTATTAGGAATCTCTAATCAGATATATTGGACGTACATAGTGGCTGATCCGTCTGTAAAAGCTGAGCGAGTATGCTCATGCTTAAAATTGTACGTGGTCCCGGGCCCGCAGCAACCCAAAGTGCAAAGGCACTAAGAGGTAAACTATCTTCGACCTTCTTTGGTGTACTAGATGGGTCGCAGATAGTTATAGTGCTGTATAAATTATTATGATCGACATATGTAACAGCGCGCAATCCGTTAGGAGTCGTCCCGCGAGTACGGATACACGCCGGCCTTTTTTCCCGAATGAAGTAGTTGTTGTCGGAAGGCACTTTGAGTGAGGGACACTGTTTCCCAAACGGGACTAGTGTCTAAACGGTTAAATAGCTTCGACTCTGTCCCTAGAACTTAGCTATATATATAATTATAGAATATATTTAATAACCTTAATTATATCTACTTTCTACTTATAATAGATTATAAGCCCGGCGCTTTACTATAAAAGCCTTAAAACACCTCTTTAATAATAAAAACTATTATATTTTAATAAAAGTAAGTCCCTTCTCTAAAACTTAGTTATCTTATTAATCCTATTAAAGTTTTACTTTAATTCTACTACCTTATTAACTCTCGGCCTCTATATTATTCTCTATACTATCCTTCTACCTCTTTTACCTTTACTACCTTTCTTATAAATATATAATAAATAGAAAGAGTTAGAATAAGAAACTATTAGTTCTATATAAAGAAAAGAGAAGGAACTTAAGGAACTTGTTAATAATAAATATATCTATTAACTTTAAACTTAACCTATCCTCTCTATCTAAGCTATCTTTAAGAGAAGAAAATTTCCCTAAGTAGAGATTAGCTTAGATAATTATATTTAAATATATATAATTATAGATAATAGTCTCTAGTAGAGTTATTAGACCCTTTAGTACTAGAGTTATAGATTTATATATAGATATAATAGATTAGAATATAAAGGATAATAAGGTAATAATTATATTACTCTTATTAATATATTAAGATCTTATTATAGGTCTTACTTTCTATAATATAGTAGTAGCTATATAGAGTTATCTATTATTACGTTTCGACCGTAATATAGATAATTCTTTAATATATCTATTTAGATTACTCGCTAACCTCTACTATAAAGATAGAGAAGATATCTATAAATATATTAATAATTTCTATTATATCTAGATGCGAATAGTAAAAAGATACGCTACTTTATCTTATATAGTTATAAAAGTAATACGCCTAATCTTTAAGTCTAAAGAGGTTAAGGGCTTATTCTTCCTTATCTTATTACCTAATACTATAGACTATATTATTAATAATTTATTAACTTAAGATATATTATAATTTTAAGATATCGAGCTAAAGATACTTAATCTAGCTAAGAAATATAGTATTAAATCTAATACTACTAGCTATAAGGTAAGCTATAAGGGTAAGTCCGGTTAGTCTTCTAAGTTAAAGAAGTCTAACTCCGCCTCTATCTCTATCTCTACCTCTAATACTAAATATATATAGTATAAGAATGTTAGGGCTAACACTAGGATAGACTTAACTAGACTACTATAGTCTAGTACGGTCCGTGATAGGTGGACCTAGGTTAAGCTAGCTAGAATAAGCGAGACTACTATATAAGTAGGCTATATATACTTAATTCCTACTCTTTAGAAATTAACCTTATTAGGAGAGTAGACTACCCTTTTAAATATATTCCCGAATCCTCCTATAATCTATTAGACTACTATCCTACGTCTATAATTCTTATATTTTAATTTCTCTTTATATAGCACGATAGTAGTTTATAGAAATAGCTCTAACTACTCGTTATAATACTCGTGGTACCGCCTCTTATAGTAGACCTTCTCCTAACCTAAACGAGGAGAATAGTCTATCTATAACTACCCCTACTAATAACTATATCTTATAGACTATCGTACTAATAACTTACACGATATTCTATATAACTATAGAAGATATTATAGAATATAAGGATAGAGTCTATTATACTCTATCTCGGTCTAGTTTAAACTATACTAGACCTAATCTTAATACGAGGCTAGACCTTATTAATATTAATAAGTTAATCCGTTAGAATCGCCTAACATTAACTATACCTTATAATAATATATATACTAGACTATACGAAGAGAGGTAACGATAGATTTAACTCGAGTAATAACTATATAAACTTAATAAAGCTTAAGAACGTACTACGAGACTTAAAGCTATATTACACGCTTTAGTTCTAGTAATAACTAATCTATATTTATATAGACCTATACTAACTAAAACGATCTATTCTAGTCTACTACTATCCTAATTACCCCGACCTAAGAAACTACCTTACTTTAATAGTAAAAGTAGAAAGAGTTTCTACGTATAGGCTTACTAATATAGCCGATTCTTCTATCTATTTATAAATAATAGTAATAAAATTAGATTCGCCTAGAACTACCTTAATCTAACGCCTTTAGAACGTTAGATAGTATACTAAATTAAATATCCTAAGGATATCTATAACTAGGACACGTTCACTAAATTTCTCCTCTAATATTTTAGCGATAGGGCTAAATAACGCGACTAGACCTAGGGCTATATCTTTAAGACTCGATAATAAGATAATTAATTACTATTATAACTCCTTAAATATCTTCGGCCCCTCTAGAGAGAAGCTAAAGAAGATTATATAATTTAATAGTATGATAACTTTAAACGGTCCCTCGCCCTAAATATAAAGGACCGTCTTAACCTTATAATAATAATCTCTATAGATCTCTAAGCTCTTATAAACCTTACGGAGCGATACTAGTATATAATAAATAATTAACGCCGTGCTAGTATACGACTATCTCTAATAATCTAATCTAACGTAAAATCGTCTAACTAAAACCGATTTAGTAATAGATCTTACGGGACGTTACGAGGCTATTACTATACCTTAAATTTAAAACCACGCGGATTATATTATAGATCTCCCTACTAATTAATATATTAAGATATAAGGACTAACTCGTATAAATGACCTAAAGTTACTTACTATACCTATAGTAGAATAGACTATATAGTATCTAAGTACCGTTTAGGGAAGCTACTAAGTACTAATATAACTAACTAACTAGTTATATACTATAAGTACTAGTAGCTAGAATATATCGCGCCTAACTATCTAATATAGAATATAAAAAACTAATAGCCTACGAGAAACCCTCGCGACTTATAGATATAACTATAATAGAGGGGTAATCTACTAAATAGTATATTAAACTATAGGCTAGACCTATCGAGGTCCCTCATAGATAATATTAGACTATAATACTTAATAGTAGATTAGCTACTAACGTTATGTTAATCTAATAAGCACGAGAACTTAACGCTAATATCTAAGCTCTAATAAGTACTATATTCTATAGTATTAACGGTCCTATTAAGTTATACGGTACCTATACTATTAAATATAGTATCTAGGATAGCGGAGGGAAATAGAAACTCTACTACTTAACCTTTATCGTAGTAGATAGTCCCTTTAATATAATCCTAGGTATACTATAGCTTAAGAAATATAACCTAAAACTAGACTTCCTTAAGAAGATAGCTAGCTAGTATATAAATCTATCTTAATAGGAACTAGTATAGCTTATTAACGACGAATAATTCTAGAAAGATTACGAGAAGGTAATCTCTACTATCTATATACTCTTACTTACGTAAAATAGCGAGCTTAGTATTAAAGTAGACGAAAACCTACTATATTAGTATAAAATATACTAATATATTACGTTAGCGATTAATTCCTCTAAACTACCTTAATACTAATCTACCGACCTTACTATTAATCTTAAAGACGGCTAGTAACCTCTATATAGACCTATCTACCCTCTTTTAGAACCTAAGTTATAAGCCCTTTAAGAATATATTAAAAAGAATCTTACGCGAGGATAGATTAGGCCTAGTATATCTCTAGCCGGAGCTCTAATTCTCTTTATAAAGAAGAAGGATAGGAGCCTCTATCTATATATTAACTACTATAGCCTAAATAATATTACGCGAAAGAATCGTTATCTACTACCTCTTATCTCCGAGTCTATTAATAGACTAGAACGTATAAAGATCTTTACTAAGCTTAATCTATATAACGCCTACTATCGCCTTCGTATTAAGGAAGGTAATAAATAGAAAACGGCTTTTAGGACCTATTATAGATACTTTAAGTATACTATAGTCCCTTTTAGACTAACTAACGTGCTAGACACCTTCTAAGCGTATATTAATAACGCGCTAGTAGGCCTACTCGATACGATATATATCGTGTATCTAGATAATATTCTTATCTTCTTAGATAACGAGGAGAAGTATATCTAGCACGTACGTATAGTTCTAGATAGGCTAGAAAAGTATAAGCTATATATTAAGCTATCTAAATACGAGTTCTATTAGGACTATATTAACTTTCTTAGCT